ACCCCGGACCCCCTCATTCTCGTGAGCAGCCGGGTATCGACCCCTCATGCTAGGCGATGACACCCCCGGACGAGAGGCAGCTGGTCATATCTGGGCGGCCTCAATGACGACAGCGACGGAGCTCGTGCTCAAGGCGGCTGCGGTGATGAGGACAGGCGGCGACTGCGGCGGCTGAGGGCTCTCGGCGTTGTGGCACGGGCTGGCGATGACCGAGCCGAAGACAGCAGCTGCGGCAGGAGGGAGGGGGGACACAAGGAGAAGGGGTGGTGTAGAGGAGAGGGCGCTGGCTGGCGTGTGGGCGGCGGCAGCGTCACCGACGTCGCACGGTCGGCTGCAGCCCGACGGCGCCGTCAACGAGCGGCGTCGATGCTGTACGACGTGACGTCGATGCGGCATAACGTCGACGCCGCGACGTCAGTACGGCGGCGCTGTCACGCCGCGACGGCCCGACGTCGACGGCGTCGCCACCATGAGGCCGCCGCGGCATCTCAAGGAAGGTGCCACGGCGGCAGGCAGTCTGAAGGTTGCGAAGGCGGCGAAGTAACAGAGAATACGCAGCGGAAGAGTAGTGAGCAGGCTCGGGACGGGCGGCCTGCTGTGAAACCATGTCGTGAAGGTAGTACAGCTAGGACGCCGGCCCATGACTATGGCGGCGGGGTTTAGCTAGGAGGAAGGAGAGGAGAATGTCGAGAGAAAAGGTGAATCAACTAGAAGAGAAATAGGTACAAGAAGGGGAGTTATCCCCTCTACAGTAGGATGCAGTAGCACAACTACCAAGCCTATAATTATATAAAATATAATTTGAACACACTGCCCCTATTCAGTCTAGGGGGTGTGTCAAAAACATTTGTGTGTGATGTTGTAGACCATATAGGGTTGTGCCTTAGAGAGTACAGCCCCCTAGGTTATAATGCCTTGTACTCTCACATTCTAGTCATTCTTTCAGTTTGATATACAACCGTTCTGACAAACATCGAAACCACCTGCCGCCCATTCAGGTTTTATCCTAATAGCACCACGGGTGACGCAACCGAAGCCGAGGAGATGACGAGGGATGGATCATGGAACTCTAACTCCAAACCAGAGGAACTTCCGTCCAAACCGAGTCGAAGCAGCTGCAGGTTTGGCAATGCAGAACAGGCAACATTTCATGCTTAGAATGTGATCCAGGCCAATACCAGGCCTCAGGATATCAGGGTAAAATACCCTTACGACCCTTACTATAAGGCTGGGGTTGGTGTTGGACCCTTATTTTTAAAAGTGCTTTAGTTTTGGACCCTTATGAAAAAAACTATGTTTGTACGGGACCCTGATTTTCAAAAGTGGTGTATCGTTCGCACCCTGATGCGAAAAAGTGCCTCTACAAAATACCCTGATGTGATTCTACATGCAGGCCCCCCGTTTGGGGGCAAGAATATTCCCCCGAGTCACGCCGCAATCAGCGCCATTACTGCTCTGTGCTGGCGCGCGTCGACGTGACTGCTCCAGCGAGTCAAAGTGTGTGGCTTTCTAGGAAAAGACAAACCAATCATCGTCAGGGGTCGGAGCGCGCATGGACAGCGCGGCAGCAAATGGTCCTGCGGTGACCTGTTCTGCAGGCAAACGACATGATTGGTGGAAAGAAGGGGGCACAACTGTCGATCCCCTTCTCCTCTGTTCGGGGCACCAGTTCTTCTTCAACGGTCTCTTCCGTGCTGTTCTTGAGAGCACTGAGAAGCAATCTGCTCCGTGTTTCTATCTCTCATCCGCTTCCTTACCATATTCCTCTTGCCTCGACGATAGCCATGGACCCCGTCGACAGCGATGAGGAGGAGGATGGTGGGCGGAAACGCCCGCTATCCCCTCCGCGATCAGCCCTTAGTTTCCTCCGTCGCGCACCAATCATAGTCGCTCAGCCGTTCCCACCTCCAAGCTCCCCTTGCGTTGGGTCACCTCCTTTGACCGAACCCATAGCGGATGTCCCTGCTCTACCGGTTTCCGCCTCTGGGGGTTCTCCTGCCCCATCCCCAACTGCTGTGGGTTTGACGTCGTCTTCCGCGAAGCGGAAAGCGAGCAGCCTGCCGCAGAAGTGGCGGCAGCAGCATCTCCCCTTCGCTCGGTCAACAGACAAAGCGCCTGTTGAGGAACCCGACGACGTCGCCGGCGACGATGATGACGAGGATCACGAACCCACCGACCAAGAGAGTTCCAAAGATCCACAGGCTGCTTTTGCAAAAGCGCACCGACGTTTTAAGTCTTCATGGGAGAGTTTGTTCCCGTGGCTTGTCCTCGACCGTGCTGACGATGGTTTCCCTGTATTGCGCTGCAGCACTTGCCTCGAGCACGGAGTTTCAGGTGCGGACACCAAGTATGGCAAGGACGGTTGCGGCGGGCGTGACATGCAGAAGAACAGCATCCAGACTCACCAGCGGTCCAACGCCCACCGCGACGCCTACCGTCTAATGAAGGCTAAGCACTCGAGGATGTTGCGGCAAACACTCCTAAACGAGTACGAGGGCCTCGACAAGAGCACGCTACATCTCATCACCGCCATGAAGACGGCGGTGTACACGTGCCAATCGGAGGCGCCGATAACATCCTACGTCGGCTTTATCAAGTTCATGGCTTCAGTGCAGACGCCCAACCTCCCTCTGGATCAGAAGGGCGCCTACTTTTCAGAGTGAGAAACTTCGAATCCGAATCTTAGTGCGTTTTTTTCCAAGTACTGAGCGACCATATTATTGGTCCATGAGTTGCAACATCTCTGACTACTCTCTTGTTTCATTGTTTGTATGCTTGGCAGATACGGATTCAACGAGTTGGTCGAGGCCGCATCGAAGTACCTACGAGAAGAGCAGCTGAAGAACATCGCCAACAGCCCTTATCTCGGCATCGCTATTGACGAGAGCACAGACCGTGTCAGAGGGAAGCATCTGATAGTATACGTGACTTATATCAAGGATGGCTATGTGCGTACCGAGTTCCTGACGCTTCTCACCGTGCAAAAATGTGATGCAGCAAGCCTCACTGAAGTTCTGGAGACTTACATGCGATCGGTCGGCATCAACATGGAGAAGATCGTCGGGATAAGTACGGACGGCGCGTCTGTCATGGTAGGCGAGCACAAGGGCGTCGTCGCATGGTTGCGTGTTAAGATTCGGCACCTAGTGTCATGCCACTGCATCGCCCATCGGTGAGTTGACTCCAGTGTTTGGTGTTTGACTGGTTGCCTTTTAGTTGTTGGTTCCCAAATCGCATGCGATGTCACGTTCTACTGTCACACACCTGGTGTGCGTCTATGTGTTCCCTCCCCCCTCCCTGCCAGTGAGTCTCTGGCAGCCAAAGACGCGGCGGCGAAGGTTAGAGACTTCTCCGTCATCGACCAAGTCATCAGAACCGTCTCTGAACTGCTGTCAAGGAGCGGGATCTGGCACAGACGCTTCAAGAAGCTGCAGGAAGAGCTGTGTGACACGAATCTGGAGCTCCAGGGAATATATGACGTCCGCTGGCTTTCACGGGGGAGTGCGGTGAAGCGATTCGCGCAGCTGTTGCCGGCTGTAGTCGTGCTTCTGCACGAGTATCAGCACGAGCTATACGGACTTGTGAAGAGTTTCAAGTTTCACTTCCTTGTGTACTTCCTGGCAGATTTGCTCGAGGTCCTCAACGACCTCAACGCGAAGTTTCAGAAGAAGCAGGTGAGGTTTCTGATGGCTGTGACCTTGTGTTTGTTTAACCGCAGGCCCTAATTTTTGTCGTTCTTCCTCTGTTTTATGCACGACCTCAGGTGGACATTACACTGGTCGCTGGCGAGGTTAACCTGGTGTGCAGAAAGATTGACGTCCGCTACATCGACTGCGAAAACGCTTTCGGCAGGGACTCTCCGCTTCTGAAGAATTTCTTGAAGGAGCATGCCAACCCCCAGTTTCGAGAGGTGACAGTCGAAGGTGTCGACAAGGAAGACGCACCGACTGTGCATACCTTCACGCTAAGCGAGGAGCCATGGGAAGGTCAGAAAGGCAAGGGGGACTACCCGACCTGCGTGAAGCTGTGCAGGGAGTATGCGGCGGAGGCAAGGGCACGACTGGAGCACAGGCTGGACGACCTGCAGGATCTTAACGGCGCAAAGTTGTTTCGGCCGCTCGTATACCCCGAGGACTGGGCATCATTGATGAAGAAGGCCAGGGAGTGGTTGGCTCTGCTAGATAAGCTTTTCCATTTTAAGCTTCACGGTAAGTGTAATACGCTTCAAATCTAATTGCCATGGTAAACCTCCTTCGCTGTCACATTGGTGCTGCCTTGCACGCCCTAAACTCCTCCCGCATTGTGTCCTCCCTCCACTCCTCCCCCCCTTCCACCCATATCCCACCCATTTCCCCCATCTGAGTTCCCAGGAGTCAACTTCAAGACCTGCGTGTCAGAGCTGCATCTCTTCCTCCACACGATGAACACCAACCACGCGAATCTCGGCTTTCACAAGTCCATGAAGCTCATGCTGGACAGCACGGATTACGAGGGAGCATACCCCAACATAGTGCGGCTGTGGCAGGCGGTCGCCGTGCTGCCCCTCAGCACGGTTGAGTGCGAGAGGGGCTTCAGCCGCCAGAATCGCATCAAGTCGTGGACGCGCAGCTGCTTGGGCGATGGGAAGCTCGAGGACCTTATGACAGTGGCCCTCGTGCAGTGCGACATGGAGTGGCTGAAGATGGTTGAGATTTTCCGAACAATCAAGGACCGCCGCCCTGCTACCCAGTTTGACATGGCCGACTAAAAACACCGGGAGCAGAGGGTCTCCTCTCCAGCAGCAGTAGCAGCAGTAGTAGTGGCATCACCAGCACCAGCATCACCAGTAGTAGTAGCAGTAGCAGCAGCAGTATTGGTGCAGGATTAGTGCGTTATGCTTTGCAATGTCAACATCTATAATGCTAAGCAAATTTATCCAGTTAGGAATGAGTATGGCGTTTGTACACCCTGATGTGGAAAAGCAGTTTTGTTTAGCACCCTTATAAACCAAAGTGGAAAAAAAAAACACCCTTACAGAAAAAGTGGTCGAGGGTTCATACCCTTACATGAAAAACTACTCCAAATTCTATCCAGAGGCCTGGCCAATACACTTGCACACATGTCCTATGTCACTCCTGTATTGCACTCCTATTGAAATCAGCCTGCTTGCTTATGCTGATCAAGCGAATTTAGCAGGCTGGAAAGTCACACAAGAAAAAGCCTAGCATTATTCTCTCCCACACATGCACACACGTATTTATTTTGTTACGAGAATTTATTTAAAATTGCCCTTTCACATCGTGAATGGGTTCACGCGTTTAGGAATGCTGCAAGCCCTGGAGAGTCGGGGCCGCTAGTTAACGAACACCTTGAACTTCTGGCCCTTGACACAATCAATCCCAGCGGAGCTAGTGAAGTAGACCCACATGCCGCGGTACTTGTCAGGGATCTTGTACGTGATGGTCTTCGCCTTGGACTGCGGGGCCAGGCGCGCGGTCGTGGACATGAGGTCGCAGTCCGTCCAGGCCGCCTTAGAGGGCAGCTGAACCACATCGTCCACTGTGTTCGTGTTGGCCCACTTGAACTCTGTCACAGGGACGGGAGTGTGGGAGAGGGAGGAGGGTGAGGCAGTGGACTTGAGGTCGCATCCCGTCCAGGCCTTCTTGGAGAAGTTGAACCACTTCGTCCCCTCAGTTCCCGTTGGCCCAATTTAACACTATAAAGGGGACGGGAGGAATGTGGGAGGGAGGGAGGGAGGGAGGGAGGGAGGAGTGTGGGGCAACGCAAGGGGACGTGTGCTTTGAGAACAGCTGGACACCATGTTGTCATGCATGCATATTACACATAACACATATCCATGTTACGTACATGCATCTCTAGCGAATCTCCACGCCATGTACCGAGAACGCCATTGCCATAGAGCTTGAACGGTGGCATGATGTTGCTTCTGAGTCGTCTCAAAAGCAGGGGGGCACACTGCATTCCAAGGACGTACCAAGAACGAACGCAGAACGTACCAAGAACGTCATTGACATAGAGCTTCGGTGGCACGATGTTGGCGATTCCCCACGCCCAAGGGGACTTGGAGCGTGGCAGCCCCACCGTGTACTTGACCGGCTTGCGCACCTGTGTGAGGGAGTGAGTGAGTGAGTGAGTGTGTGTGTGTGTGTCAGTGTGAGAGTGCGAATGTGTGAGAAAGATAAAGTTAGCACCTAGATGTGAGGTTCGTGCACAGAGAGATTGAGTGCGGTACAGAGTGGTGGGGTTTGGCAAAGAGCGGTGCTTGTGGAGTAAAGGGGGGAGGAGGGAGAGTGTGTGTTGAGGGGAAGAGGTCATACGACTTAGGCGGATTACGACAGGAGATCACACGACTACTACTGCGCTGGGGGCTGCGCTTGAGAGTATAGGGGGTTCGCCACGGGAGCCGCTTTAAAAACAGCATGGTTGTTCTGTTTGGCCGTTGGATGAAACTTTCCCTTTGAAACATGCGTGGGACGGTTAGTCAAATAGAGCGCTTCTACTCTTATGTGTGAATCGGCGTGCCTAATCGCACCTGCGACTCCACCACGCCTGAAGCGCGCCAAGTCCGGGTCGATGTGGTATCCCCGCGAACCACCCCCACGGCGCGTTCCGGTTGGTTGGTTGGTCGCCCGTCGCCGCGCGTCGTCGCCGCGGCAGGCATGCGGTGGGGTTCGCGATCAACGAAGGCGGGGGAAGGGGGAAGGGGGGAGGGGGAAGGGGGAAGGGGGAAGGGGGAAGCGGGATGGAAAGGGAAAGGAGATGAGGGAGAGGGATGCAACAGGAGAGGACGAAAGGGAAGCAAACGATTTGGGACGTTTCAAAGGGGTTCAAAGCTTCTGAGAGGAAACGCAAAGAGCGGCGGGAAAAGTCGGGTGGGGGTTGGTTGGGGGAGGGGGGGGGAGGGAAAGAGGGGAGCGGAGGGAATAAGCGGACCACGGCAGGGAAGGGGGAAGGGGGAAGGGGGAAGGGGGAAGGGGGAAGGGGAAAAGGGGAGGGGGGAGGGTGTCGACGGGTGAAGAACGCTCGAAACGAGCGTTACGGGAATGAATTAGGACAAGCCGCAGGGATGTTGATGCATGCCTCTAGAGGCCAGGAATAACGGACTATGGAGGCGGCTCGGGAAGTAAATAGGAGTTCGCGTCGTTTGTCGAGACTCTAGATTCTAGACGGTGTCCCTGTCGGCTACTCACGGGATGCGAGGAACACAGTAACGAGGACAAGGAGAGACCAGGCGCGTACTCCCGCCATAGCGACACGCGACGGACTCCAACTTGTTGGCAACACGGCGCAACACGGCGCGAGACGGCACAACACGGCTCGAGACGAGCGGTTCGGTCAGTATGCGTTACGAAACGGTGTCAGGCCAGTAAATAAACAGCAGGTCGGCTGATTCCAAGGAGAACAATAGTATGAACGGTGGAGAGCGGAGCAGGAAGCGGGAGTCGCGGGGGGAAGGATGTCCGTCAGAGGCAGTTGGTTGTGTGGGCAAAAAAAACTCGCCAGGAAAACACCTGCTGGGTATGAAGATCGACTTCAGTTGGGTGATGCGAGTTGGTCAGTCAAACGAGCGTTTTCCCAGCGTTTCGTGTTGCGGCAGTCAGTCAGTCCCACCATCTAGCAGTCCCATTTCCAGATTTTGTCTGCATGACCAGCAAACGTTTGATAATGGCCGAGGCGCGTGCGGACGAATTTCGCTATGTTTTGGACATAGCTGTACTGGGCATGCAAAGGCTTGCGATGAACGGACTCCGTCCTGTGCGTCCGCGGTTGCACCGAAATCACCGACCAGCCATGCGTTATCCCAGGTGACACCAGCCCCAGGTGTCGCCAGCAAAAGACGTGGGCTGGATCAGCGAGGTTTCACCTGCGTGGCTGTACGCGTCACAGAAGCGTCCGGCATGAAACTAGTATACTAGTGCACAGTTCCAGTTGTCAATGGGCGAATAGGGCTTCCAGCATAATATACTTTTGCCATTACTTCTCACAACCACCCCTACTACCTACTGCAATGTGAATTGTGAATTCATGGACATGCCGAGTCCAGATCAATAAGATGGAAAATAAAGATATCAACTGGGGTTTTTAAGATGAAAAACCAAGGGTTTCATATACCATGGACACTCTTACCCATGCATTGTGACTAGCGTGCACATCCCACACAACTTTTGGTCCATACACCATCATGACATCAATACGCACTATGCCTGCGCACAGAAGCTACCACGGAGAAGAGCAACACTGGCATTGGTAGCATAAGCAATGATGCCAAGGGGGAGATGCTGTGGTCCTGGTGGTTACGCAACGGGCACCCATCCCCATCTTCGACCAGGTGACAGTGTGTACCCCAAAAAAGAGCCGGTCCACGATTGGTCGGGCAGCTATGCAGAGAGGGTGGCGGGCACGGGAGAATCCGCTGCAGAGTTGAATCGAGCATTTAGATTGAATCACGGGGCGCCGAGGTTGGTAAGCGTGAAAGTGCCGGTCCATGATTGGCCGGCAGCAAGGGTGAGAGGGTGGCGGGCGCGAGAGAAGCCGATGCAGAGAAACTCGTCCCAGTCCGGCAGGCCACAGGTCTCATCTGCTGCGTGCACCGTCAGATCGCCCAATCCAACGGCTGAGAGGCGGAAGGAGAGCCGGCGACCCTGAGAGAGGGAAGGATGGGGACAGAGAAGCTGGCGGTGTGAGGCAGTGGCTGAGAAATGAAGCTTCTGAGAGATGAGATGGGTGTGTGAATGTCTCAAAGCCAACATCGAGCCAGTGCGTGTGAGGTGATGGCAGGTGAATGCAGACACACTGTAAGGGTGGATGGGTGTGTGCGCTGTGCATGGTACGATGAATAGGCCATGGAGAACGAAAACGCGAAACAAGGACCCGACGGGATAACGAGTGAAGACAAATCTGAGAAAGCTTGAAACGCCGAGTCTTTGATACGTCCAGTTTGCTTTTGAGTCGGCTCAAAAGCAAACGCCAAGTCTTGATACGTCGATTTCGGTGACCACGCATTTAATACAAGAATAGGGATGGAGTCAGGGCTGTGAAAAGGCACAGCTATGTCTAGAGTGAGAATAAAGGCTCCATAGAAACAAGAGCAGTCTCCCACACTGTCGGTACCAAGAACACCAAGCTCCACTTACCTTTAAGAACAGCCATTGAAAACAACGCCAAGGCCTGTTTTTTCTCTCAAGAAGCGGGAGCATTTCAGCCATGTCTATTAACACCACTGCTTACCCTGTCTAGAAGAGTGACCGAGTCAGGACCGTCCAGAAAAATCCGCTTTAAAGGCGCCTCGATATCAGCATAGTCTGCCCTCTCTACACCCTCCTCCCCTCCCTCCACTACGTCCCTCCACAACCCTCTCAACCTCCCAACCATCTCCTTGTCAACTGGACCTGCTCCTGAACCCGCCTCTGCTGCTGCTGCGCTTGTCACTGCTGCTGCTACTGTTGCTGCTGCTGCTGTGGCTGCTACTCTCCCCTTGCCCTCTTGCGACCCGGCGCTTTCCTCCGCCCTCCCACTGCTCTGTTTCTTGCTGCCCAACTGCCCAAACAAGCTCCCCATTCCCCATAAGCCTCCCCCACCTGCCCCCCCTCTCTCCTGCTGCAGTCTCTGCTGCCGCCCGCTGCCGCTGCTACAGTACCGCACACCTTTGCAGCCAATCAGGCGGGCCCCATTGATGGTGGAGAGAGAGAGGTGGGCGGCGAGGGAGGGGGCGAAGAGAAGATCGCTAGAGGGCTGCTCTGTCCTGCTGCTGCTGCTGCTGTTGCTGCTGCTGTTGCTGGCAGTGGTGCTCGTGCTGCCACGAGTGGCAGTGTTTTGTACGGCGAGGGAGGAGGAGAGGGAGTTGGGAGTGAGAGTGATGGTGAGAGAGAGAGAGGCGGTGCCAGACCAAGAGGAGGAAGGGAGAGATTCTTGGGTCAACGATTGCGAGAGCACAACCTGCCGGGATGAACAAGGGGGGTTTGGGAGGCGGGTGTATCGGGCCAATGGGTAAAGGCAGAGATGGGAGGGAGGTTAAACGAAGGATGAAGCGATAATTTGAATAAAAAAGGTGTGGGGAGGAGTTGAAGAAACAATGGTCCAAGAAAAACGAGAAGCAACAAACAAAGCGGAGAAAAATGACACATCAAAGTTGACTAGAGATTTCAAGATGAGTGCCTCTCACAGCTCACCCCCCCAACCCCACCCCACCCACCCCTCCTTCCCTTCCCCTTTCTTTATCCCCCCCTTTTTCCCCCATGCCCCTCCCCCCCATCCCACCCCACCCCACCCCACCCCACCCCACCCCACCCACCCCCCTCCCCGACACCCTTCCTCTTCCCCCTGCCCTTATCGGAGCCTCACTTTAGCCCAGCTCCCATTCGACGCGCTCGATGCTGACGTCACCTCCCACTCGCCGCGCGCTGCCAGCTCGCCAAGTGGCACCCTCCTGCCGCTGCCAGCTGTCAGCGCGCCACTGGCGGGGAAGCTGACGACGACTCCCCCTCGGATAAGGTTGCACGGGCTGGTCGAGTCGCTCGCGTCCGACGTGGAGTCCACGTCAGCGATGACCACGTCATCATCGTTCGACGCCGCATACAGTACCTCCTCTGCCGCGCCGTGCCACATCATCGCGCGGTACGAGGTCACGCGAGCGCCGTCAATGAGAACACGACACGTGGTCTCGTCTGACGTGGACAGCTCGACGGTCCGGATACCCGCGGCACCCGAGAACTGGATAAAGGGCGATCCGAAGGCCTGCTGAAGGAAGTATGGCGACGCGCGGTCCGATGACGTGGCACTCGCGGATATTACGGGAATACATCTGCTAGACGCGGAAACTAAGGAGGGACGTGGAGGGAGAGGAAGCGCGGGAACGGGAACGAAATTTCGCGGCGCGCGTGGCAAGGGTGGTGCGAGTGGTGGCGCTCGTAACGACGGGAAAAAGTCGGGAGAGAGCGGGAGGAGCGGGGGAGAATGCGGGGCGGCGGAGTTGCGAAGGACCGACGACACGACGAAGCCGCAACTATACGAGGACGGGGACAAGCGAGCGCGAGCATGGCTGCTGGGCGTGGCGCTCGGAACGGCGGAATACGAGGGGGAAGCGAGTGTCACAGTAGTTCGGTGGGCGGGAAGTTGGGAGCAGTGGAGAACACCCATGAGAGCTGAAGATTACAGAAAACTGCCGAGGCGATTGGATATCGGGCGGACAGATTCGCTGAGTGGAGTGATGGAAGGATGAGGCTGGAATTTATGGTCTAATAATAGTATGGCTCCATGGAATGGTGGCGAATATTCTCGCTGTTGCAACATTCCTCGTGTTTGTTGCAGATCAACTATCTGATTTGAATTTGACTACTATATTATTTATGTACTAAAAAGTAAAGACGATGAGCACAACTTCCTACATGAGATCGTGTAATTAACTGAGAAATTCATCGACATGAAACCTTTCCTGATGTCAGGACTCAGGATTGCTTTCAGTACAACATGCTAGTGCTCATAATGAACCGCGTGCTGTAAGCCGCGCGTGCTACTTTCCCCTCGACAGGAAACATACAGTGCGTCTCACAAATAAACTTGGGGAACAGAATCGGACAGATTGGATGTGGGAATGAGCAGAGGGAGGAAATCGTACAAATTGAGGGTGAAGAGGCGAGGAGGAATGGAGGTAAGAGACGGGCGACGAAGAGTAAAAGAGTAAAAGAGGGTGGACACGGAGAGATGGAGGGCAGGAGTGTATGGATGTGGAGTGGGAGGACGAAGGGGGAGAACGGGAGAGGGAGAGGTGGTGGAGAATAGAGGGGAGAGAGAGAGAGGGAGAAGGGGGAGAGGCAACAGAACAAGGAGGGTGGAGAGGGAGAGAGAGCAGGGAGGGGGAAGGGGCAGAAAGCGAGAAGTTGAGTATTAAGGAGGGAGAGGAGGAAGCCCAGGAAGGACGCAAGGGAGGAAGTTACGATGAAAGTGAGACGGGGTATGACGGAGATGGAGGGGGGAAAGCAGCCTGGGACAGGGAGAGGGCGTGAGCGAGGCAACGAGGGAGAAAGGGAGGGAGAGAGCGCGAACTTTAGAGGTATAGAGGAGGGAAGAGAGTCACAAATAGAGGTGACGGGGATAAGGCAAACGACGAGAAAACGGAGAGGAGACGAGAGAGGGCCCCTGGGATGGGGGAGGAATACGGAGAGTGGGAGTACAGGGAGGGACAGATCAAACAGGCAACAAGCTGTAAAAGCCGTCCATAACACCCCTCTACCCCCCCCTCCCCTCCCCTCCCCCCACCCAAGAAAACCGTTTGTGTAATCAATATAGGAGCAGACGTTTACACAATTTCTTATTAATACAGCTATGACGCCAGACTTTACATGTTCCAGATAGATACTGAAAGAACTTCGTTAGATTTCCAGCGCTGTCTGAACCAACAACATACCTGGTCAACCATTCAGGCATGGTGTTACACCTCCAGAGGAAACTTGTCGTTACAGCCAGACAGGGTAACAGACACTAACCCCAACTGCGTTACTGCAACGCACAGTAACTGTAACATCAGCAACAGGAGAGGATCAACGGATGCGCGCACGGAGCTGACTAGATGGCCTCAATGTGATCAACATTCGGAGTACGCCGGTTGGTGGGAGCTTCAGCAAAGTCACTCCCCTTCAGCTCAGCCGACGTCTTGTCGATTGCCCGGTTCAGCTCAGCAAGCTTCTCGTTCATTTTCCTCCGCTTCTCCTGAAACGCGATCCATGCCAAACAATGAGCTACCACGGATTACGAAAAAACGATATCAGGTGAGGTTTAAACTTACCTCGAGATTGTCGCTCTCGCTAATCCACTTCGGAAGTTTCGGTGAGGAACCCTCCTCGTTTGTCCCGAGAATAGCCTTCGAGATCTATCAGAAAGAAACAGGATTTTCAGGGATTTATGCATTTCACTTGTTCGCAACTTTTTGCACCTGGAGGGAAACACAGCTGAGGTACCCCTAGGGCCCACAGCTGAAACACAGCTGATCAGTGACTGACCTGGGGTGCGAACAAGTAGCCCAGGGCACCGAATACAACGCCACCTAGGATGAAGCCAGGGAAGAAGCCGCCGCCTCCACTATCCCTCCTGCGTTGTTTCAACAAATTCAAAACATGCGAAGAGAGAAGAAACAGAAAACTAAAATAGTATCACTCGTTGACACACCCAACTAGAGACCAACCAAGCCACGACACGAAACAAGAGGGGATGGACCAAGGAGAAGAAATCACCGAATGCTACCTGTAATCAGAATCTGCGACGATGAGTTTCCGTGCTGCTGTCCTTCTACTGCTGGCAGCTCTGAAAACCACCGCCTTCGGAGACGCTGTGAAACACTTGGCTCCGGCAAGGCCTTGGAAGCTAGGGACTCCTGAAACAACGCCACGCGGGAACGTGAAAAGCTGATCGACGATGCAGACCAGCGCCATGAACATATGAACACATCGTGCGTTCTTACCAAGCGAGTTTTTCGGTGCCAGAAGAACGGCAGTGCTACTGGCACTAAACATTTGCGTGGTCGCCATGGCTGTGGGAGCGAGCGATCTAGGATTGGCGATGTACGAGAGGGATCCAACTGTGATACTATACCACACTGATCAGTTAGAATCTACAGTGGGAGAAGATATGTAGACTCGGGCTGACATGACCACAGCTGGATTGATTTGGCAGGAGAGTAGTTTCACCTGATGTTCAGGGAACCAGGGTGACGACGACAGACGGATGTATCATTCTCCAACACAAGGTTGGATGGGGAAGACAACCCTGTTAGACAGTTGCGACATCAGCGATGCTGGCGAAGTCGAAAGTGTCAACAAATTTGGAGACGAACGGTTGAGAGCAGTTCGTCAACCAATCCTGCTGTAGGCTGAATATCCTTGAAAGGTTCGCCTGATGACGTCTTGACGTCCCGGAAAGCCCATCAGTTACGCACACGTGGCTGTGCGTTGCTGTAACAATATATCTGCCACCGTGGCTCGTAATCGTACTTCCATTGGCTGACGAGCCACTGATCCCTTGCGAGACTTCATTGGCGAACAGATTCGCTCCTTGCTGTGCTGTAACGTCCGCGAGCCCAACAGCCCCTCGAGAATGGCTTGCCCAGGCATCGGGGATTTCGTTGTCCCATCTCCCCAACCTCCGCCCCTGCGACATCTCGTTTCTCGCCATGCCATTGGCTGCGCGCTGCTGACGCGCTGTTGTGGTGCTGACGCGGCCCTGCTGATTCTGTGGAGATTGCCGAGTCGCTTTACTCCAGCTTCTCGAACCTCGATATTGTCAAGCCAGACAACGTACAGCAGCTTAGCACATATTTTCTTGCCTCCTATTCTCAGTCTAAGGCGTGTTTGGCTGACTACCGTAGGCATATTCAGCTGCGCAGAAGCCACGCCGCGCAGCGATCTTTCAAAGAAAGCTGTTTTCGGCGCCGCACCTTCTGTGATTCAGGCCCTGATCTCAAGCCTGCCTGTCTCCAGCTCCAGTAGCTGCGCACATACCTTCACTCCGTACTGCATCGCATCGGTCACAGATGGCGTGCCTAGCAGCCAGCTCGCAAGTCGCATTCAGAGGCGTGGCTCTCAGCCATGCGCAGGTCAGCACCCACAACCACCCACTGGAATCCACGCGTCGTGCTGTCAGGTTTTCCGATCGTTCCGCGTATTGGCCGATCCAGTCTAAACGTGTTAGCGGTATGGTGAATGCAGGCGGTCAGCAATGCGAATGTCGGTGGAAAAGCCGCCAGAAGACCCGTGGTTCGCTGCAAGGTGGCGTCGCCCGCGGTCGACAAGGCCGATGCGTCCGCGTCCGCGGGCGAGTACACGCCGACCAGCGACGCGTCCACCATGAACATCATGACCGGCGCCATCAACGCGCTCTTCGGCTTCCAGGTGCCGTGCCGCTCCTCTTCCCCGCCTCATTTGACCGCTTGCAACGGCATTGTCGTCCCTCTACCAGCAGAATCTCCCTTCCCCCCCCCCCCCCCCCGTTTTCCATGTCTTCAAACCGTTCTTCCTGTTCACAGCGGGCAAGGCGCGCGAGATGATGGTCACGCGCGGCTTTTGCCTCCACTCAAAAGCAGAATCTCACTTCCCCCCCCTTTCTCCCCCCCTTTCCCCCCCCTTTCCCCACAACCCGTGCGCCATGAATCTAAACCGTTCATCGCAGCCGTTCTTCCGGTTCGCGGCGGGCAAGGCGCGCGAGATGATGGTGAAGCGCGGCGACGCCATCGGCTTCCCATGGGCGCCGCGTCTCGCGGAGCTCAAGCGGCACGACTGGGACGAGGAGCTGCGATTGGTCGGCGCCACGAGCCGCGTCGCGAAAGACGCCAGCGGGGAGTACGTGTACCCGGAGTACTACACAAAGCCGTTCCACGCGTACGAAAAGGGTAACCTTTCGCTGGACGCGGCGCTGGAGGTGGAGCTGGCGGCGAAGGCTGTGCACGCGCCGATCTTCGACCCCGAGGTATGGAAACCTGAGTGACTGGGTTACGTCTAAGCTGAAACTAAGCAAACCGAGAAAAGGGAAGAGTAGGGAAGTGATATATGCTCCAGCTTTTCAGAGCTCTGCCAGAGCACCAGTTGCTCCATCCTAACGGTTGCGGCAAAAATAAACTCTTTCTGAGCACCAGCTGTTCTTTTTGAGGCGCCTAAAAAATAGGCGCTGTCAGAGATCTGCCAGCGCACCAGTTGCTCCATCCTATAGGGTTGCGACAAGCTGCGCCGTGCTGTGCTGCACGTACCGCATCCGAGCTGCTCTGCTCTGCTCCAACTCATGGCCTGCGATTCCAGTCCCTTGATACACAGCCCATTCAAGGGTCCAACTCCTGTCGCTCTGATTCCATCCCGTCGCACACCTTTCCACCTTTCTCCACCTCTCTCCCTGGCAGAGCAAGGCGCTCCACCCCGAGGGGGACGCAATCCTGCGGAAAGGATGCCGCAAAGCTGGTGGGAGCAGCTAAGAGTGAAGCCCTGTTCCCATTTCCCCGTTCTCCCTAGTCCCGTCGCCCACCTCCTATTCCGCACAGCAATCCGCTTGTCCCCGAATGGGACGCGAATCAGCGGAAAGGGGTATCAGGCGAAGCTGGTGGAGCAGTTGAGGATGACTTTTGAGTCGACTCAAAAGTCACGGCGAAGCTGGTGGAGCAGTTGAGGATCAAGCCCTTTCCCCATTGCTGCATTCCCCCTCTCCCACTCTCCACCTCCTGTTCTGCAGAGCAAGGTCCTTGACCCCGAAGGGGACGCCAACCTGCGCAAGGGGTACCACGCGAAGCTGGTGGAGCAGCTGCGGATCAAGCCGCAGACCATTGTGGACCTGGGCTGTGCGTCTGGGCTCAGCACCTTCGCCCTCTTCCAAGTAAGCCGGTTCTTCAGGCGCCTCAAAAGCTGCTTTTTTAAGCTCCTCAAAAGCCGAGGATTGAGGCGCCTCACAAAAAGCCGGAGATCATCGTTGACCTGGGCTTGGCGTCCGCCCGGTCTCAGCACCTTCGCGCTCTTTGATTTGATGTGAGCCTGCTTCGAGCCCGTGGCCGAACCAGAACAACAAGAACAAAACGGCCCGTCTCTCAGCATTCTTCCACGTGACGTGTCCACAGCCCTCTCTGAACGTCCGAGCGATCCGTTCCGTTTGGTGCATTCTGAACCTCTCCACACTCCCATCCCATCCCATCCCATCCGATCACCATTCCCCCTTACACGTTGAGCGAGTGCTGGTGCAAAGCGCTCCTCGTCCTGCTTATGGAGCTCCTTGCACTCACCCCATCCTCTGGTCTTCCCTTTCCCCACCCACGCAGACCTTTCCTGACGCCAAGCTGATCGGCCTGGACCTCTCGCCGTACTTCGTTGCCGCGTCAAACTACAACGTCAGAGAGAAGAGCAAGCAGGCGGTAAGCCCTCCCTCCCCCCATCACTTTCTATGCTTCGCTTGGATGCACCAGGAACTGTGGGGCGGATGGAAGGCACCTTCTCTACAGCCTTCTAAACAGCACCTTTTGAGAATCAGCTAGCGTGCATCCGGCCCTTCCGAGCGCGTCCACCTTGTTGCATTGCAAGTAGCCATACCTACCTTGTTCCAGAACCGCCCTTGCTCCTAGGGCCCCGGCCGCACTATGCCGTTACATGGTCATTCACACATGTGCCATGACGCTCCTGGAAAGAATTAAGACGAGCTGCCATTTATTTCGCTGCTGGCTCCCTTCTCTTGTGCCCCCTCTGCTGGCCCCCTCCCCAACGCCGCAGGGCTGCGACCTGCCGTTCACGTTCATTCACGCAGCAGCGGAGGATACAGGGCTGCCTGCTGGGGACGAATGAGAAACTCTTGCACGCACCGCTCCATACCCCTCCATACCCCTCCATTGCAGGGCCGCGAGCTGCCTTTCACGTTCATCCATGCAGCAGCGGAGGACACGGGGCTGCCTGCTGGGTCGGTGGATCTGGTGTCCATCTGCCTCGTGTGCCACGAGCTGCCACGGTCGGCCACCAAGAAGGTGAGGGATGCAATGTGATGCGTGGGAGAGCTAGAGAGAGGAAGGCAGACATGTGGGGGAAAGAGGGCTGCCTGCTGGGTCGGTGGATCTGGTGTCCATCTGGCTCGTGTGCCACGAGCTGCCGCGATCAGCCACCAAGAAGGTGAGGACGCGTGACGTTGGCATCCCGTCTGCCCTACTTTGTTCTGAACTGGTATGCCACCAACATTCTCCATGCCACCAACATTCTCCATGCCACCAACATTCTCCATGCCACCAACATTCTCCATGCCACCAACATTCTCCATGCCACCAACATTCTCCATGCGCGTTTGCTGTGGTGGTGGTAAATGAAGCGCCTGAAAACGCCCACTCCCCATCCACCAGCTGTGCGCAGATCATAGAGGAGGCGCACCGCATCTTGAGGCCGGGGGGGGGGGGAGAGGGGGTCGGTGGGGCACGTTTGCTGTGGTGGTGGTAAATGAAGCGCCTAAAAACGCCCACTCCCCACCCACCAACTGTGCACAGATCATAGAGGAGGCGCACCGCATCTTGAGGCCGGGGGGCGCATTTGCAGTGATGGAGATGAACCCGAGGTCGCCCTTCTTCCAGAAGATCTCCAACAACCCCTTCGTCTTCGCGGCCGTACGTGTACCACATCCATGCAGCATCTCCATGCAGCAAACAAGCCGCCTAAAACAAAGTGTGCGTTTTGCCTTGAAGCCATGGCTTCCTACTTTTGAGAGGGCCCAAGGAAGTAGGGCACTGCCTTTCAGCATCCCTTGCTTTCTCCCCTCCCCTTCGCTCTCTCCCCACGCCTCTCACACTGCCTGCACTTCAAGTTATCGGAGCCATGTGTAATGAGTCTATTCTTGAGTCGACTCAAAAATAGACTCGTTACACATGGGCCATACCAGCACGTTCGGCATTGAGAATGCCCTCACGGATAAACAGCAGTTCGCTTTGACTGCTGACTTTCCTCTCCTCTCCCCACCCCCCCTCACACCACCTGCACTTCTAAGTCAACGGAGCCATACCTGGACGACTACAGCATGCTCCCCCTCGAGGGTACCATCTTGGACGGAGAGCAGCTCACTTTGTGTCCTCACTTCCCTTTCACTCCTCGCCTCTCCCCAACCCCCATGCACCACTGCACTCAAGTCAACGGAGCCGTACATTGATGATCAAATTACCTCACGTTCCCCATTGGGGATGCCATAGCCGAGAGAGGCGTCAAGTACCCCCAGCAGATGGTGGGGAGCAGCCCCTGTTGTGTTGTCGCTTACTCTGCTCTCACCCCCCCCCCCCCCCCCCCCTCCCCCCCCCCCTTTTGCTCTCTCGTTCCCTTGACTCTGTTGCACTTCAAGTCAATGGAGCTGTATCTTGACGACTACCCCACGTTCCCCATGGAGGATGCCATAGCAGGGAGAGGCGTCAAATACCCCCAGCAGATGGTGGGGAGCGACCATGTTGTTCTGTCACCGAATCTGCTCCTCAAACCCCCTGCTCTCTTTCCCTTCGCTCCGTCTTGCAGTTCAAGTCAACGGAGCCGTACCTGGACGACTACCGCACGTTCCCCATTGAGGATGCCATAGCGGAGAGGGGCTTCGAGTACCCCCAGCAGATGGAGAGCAGCCCGCGGCACCGCTGCATCGTGGCGCACAAGCTATGATCAGCGTGCTTGTGGAAATCCGTGTGTAATGAGTCGATTTTTGAGTCGACTCAAAATCGACTCATTACACTCGTGGCGCACAAGCCATGATCAGCGTGCTTGTGGAAATTCGCATGCGAGGGTCTAGGGCGTGCGGATGGAGGGCTCAGAGCAGCCCGTGCCACCGCTGCATCGTGCGGGACAAGCAATGATCTGGGTGCTCATGGAGACACGGAAATTAACTATGTGTATCAATAGTGTGTGCATGAATAAAAGGTGTGAGACATCCCTAGTCACCAACCTTGTTGGCTCTTGAATATTGTAGAACGACGGATAGCATTGTGCGCAGAAGATAGCTGAAAACAACCTTGGTAGTATCGGTACATGCCGTCACCGTTTTGAACCATTGGAAATATAAGAAATATGAAAAACAAATCAACTGCACTGATATGGAACTAGCTAAGAGGCTATCCTAGTTTCTCTAGCCAACTGAACATAATGGACCAGAACATATACAGCAACTTGCTACATGGAAGAGTACGGAATAGGGAGTTGTGTCGTGCGCCTTCATACAATACAGGAATTGTCAATGTGCTAAGTGGCAGCAGCACTCTCTTGCAGTGAGTCCCATAGAGGTCCGCCCTCCTTGAACCCTGCAAACGGAAACAAGCGAGGCATACAGCAGAGTGAATCTGTTGATCTCACATGCACATCACACCACCATCTGTTGATCTCACATGCACATCACACCACCATCTGTTGATCTCACATGCACATCACACCACCATCTGTTGACCTGTGAATCTGTTCAAGTCCACTCACCGTTAGTGGCAGCCAGTGGGGCTGCATGCAGGCCATTCATCACGCAGTGCACCGTGCACGACTCGCCATAGTCGAGGTCCGGAAGGAGCTTAGGGGTCAGCAGGAAGCACCTGGGAGGGGCGCAGGGTGAGTGGGAAGGGGAACAGGCAGAAAAGGCTGAAGCCAGCCAGCTACCGGGCAAGTTGGCGGCCAGTCATTCAGGCCAAACAGTCATTCGGGCCAAACAGTCATTCGGGCCAAACAGTCATTCAGGCCAAACAGTCATTCGGGCCAAACAGTCATTCGGGCCAAACAGTCATTCAGGCCAAACAGTCATTCGGGCCAAACAGTCATTCGGCCAAACAGTCATTCGGGCCAAACAGTCATTCGGGCCAAACAGTCATTCAGGCCAAACAGTCATTCGGGCCAAACAGTCATTCGGGCCAAACAGTCATTCAGGCCAAACAGTAATTCGGGGCAAACAGTCATTCGGGCCAAACAGTCATTCAGGCCAAACAGTCATTCGGGCCAAACAGTCATTCGGGCCAAACAGTCATTCGGGCCAAACAGTCATTCAGGCCAAACAGTCATTCGGGCCAAACAGTCATTCAGGCCAAACAGTCATTCGGGGCAAACAGTCATTCGGGCCAAACAGTCATTCAGGCCAAACAGTCATTCGGGCCAAACAGTCATTCGGGCCAAACAGTCATTCGGGCCAAACAGTCATTCAGGCCAAACAGTCATTCAGGCCAAACAGAACAAATAGACCTAACTCGCATGTTATCGTGGCTGCGATGGGATGGCTCGGTGGTGACGTCGGGTTCCGGGCTGGAAAATCCCTCTGGTTTGAGTGTTGAGGCTTTGGTTTGTCGCGCTCGGCAGTTGTGACCCAGTCCACTTGCATAACATTGGAGCTGCGACAAGATGCGAGTTGGGTTCCATCTACCGAGCACGACACATTGAAGTCCGACGATCAAACCAGAGGCACCACCAACCCAGAAACTTGACATTGCGGTCGAGCCATCTCATCGCAGTGAGTGGAAAATACTCGATACTCGAGACATCCACCGTAACTGACAACAGCCTGGCTATTTCTCCCATGCACCACGAAAGCATTAACTCCCACGTGGCATCACCATGCTTTCGATTGTCCTTCCATTGAAGAGCACCTCTCGACGCCGACGGTGGATTCACCGAAAGACCATCCATCCCGCAAGCAGTATGGACAGGCACCGGATCATCCGACCTTGGGAAGCTGGTCTCTACATTTAAACCGACCAACCACCTGAGCCGTTTCTGGACCAAGCACCGAACCGCAACCGCCATGGTCACTAACCTACAGGCTGAATCGCGACCAACCGCCCGAGCCGCGCAGAAATTTGGCAGCATCCATTTGGGTTAAGGGTTGCACCCTGGCCCTGGATCCAACCTCCAGAGCTTCAATCGCCAATTTGCCAAGTTCAAGATTCCACCCCTAACCTCCACAGCGAGTCAACTATCCGGACCGCACTGCAACAACTGCCAGGTTCAGGATTTCACTCATAACCTATATGGCGAACGAACAGTCCATCCAACCGTCCGAGCCGCAACAACCAGGGTATGGGAATCACCCCTAACCCAACCGCCCATTCGAGCTGCAACAGCCAGGATTAGACAATCACCCTGTGGCCCAGCCCTCATTCGACTTCTATACAACCCGAAGCCACCACCAGTCCCTCATTCTCATTTTCAACTTGCCAACATTTTGAATCGCCAAATATGGAGCCAACTCGTCCAGACTCTCCTGTAGCGACGGAAGCGAGCGGGCTGTTTATTCCAGTCGATCCTGGTGTTGGCGGGTTCGGCGACGATGAAATCGCCGATCTTGATGGTTTCATCCTCCGTACGAATGGTGCGTCAGAGATCGAAATTTAGCTTCTGTCGCTTCGGGGAAAGGTCAGAGCTCAGAGCGGCTGCACGGAGCTCTTGGCCGTAGAAGCAAGTTCGGTTGTAGATTGTGGTGGCCGCTGCCTCGGCCATCGCATCGCCTGAAAGGTCAATCGGAGTGGTTTCGTGGGGAACGGTCCATGTGATGGAAGCAGGCCGACCATACTGAAGTTGGAATGGGGAATGCTTGGTGGTGTCGGAGACGGAGGCATGATAACCGAAAAGGACGAGCCAGATGTTGTCGTCCCAGTGACGGGGGTTGGCATTGCCCAGACGGCTGAGGGCGCCCTTAAGGGTCCGGTTGAAGCGTTCGACCGGTCCCTGACTCTCGGGATGGTCAGGTGTCCCAAACGAATGATAGATATTGAAAGAGCCATGCAATACCACCCAATCAGCTCGGAAGGAAAGCGTCAGAATCGAAGAGAAAGAACACCCACGCAAACAACACAAAACCGACCCCTATACCGTACGCCACAGCCCCAGCCCGTTCTGTGACCCCTTTACCAGAACGTCCCCCCCCCCCCCCCCGCCTGCACGGTGCAACCCCCCAGCCTCCGCACGGTAAAGGGGCCCCCGCAGGCCAAACAGTCATTCAGACCAAGCAGTCATTCTGGCCAAACTACGCCCGAGGCAAAGGACCGCTATAGGGCTGTGGCTTGCCTGCACGGCTGCCATGGGCGTATTTCAGAATTGTCAAAAACTCCTCGAGGCTCCTGACTGCCTGACGTGCTCCCCTCATCACCATTCGATATTGCCTATCTCGTGTTAAAATATTCTATTATATTTATTATCCTAGATTGCTAGTCTTGAGTATTTATACGCAACCTCCTTGGACTAGGGTGTAATGATAATCCTAATCGGGGGTTGGGTTCCCAAACTCGAAGGGTTCACAATTATTTAAGAACCCCAATAATCCCCACCAGGATTCTTGGACACCCTACAATCATCCTAGCCAGATTTATTGGTGGGGGCCAATAATCTTGGCCCACTCTCCCAACCAACCCCCCCCCCCTCCCTCCTAGTCCCCACCTATGTAAGCTCCTCTCTTTCCTAGTCAAACCAATCTTCTCATTTCTCACATCACAGATCTACGCTGGTTGGACTGGATGCACTCTCACTGCTGTGTGTGGCCATGGGTTGCTTGCTGCCCCCAATCACTCCTAGCACCTAATTAGGTTCTTCACTTTGCTGCGCTACCGAGCTGCTTTTTGAGTCGACTAAAAAATAACTGACGAGCTGTTGGAACATGTGATTTTTTAGAATACTCCAAAACACCTTGGAACATGTTGCACTCATTGGTTGGGTCCATGCCCTGGTTGGTTCCACTTTATGTACACAATTTAGCCTCTAAATGTACCTAAATACGTTACTTACTGTGGTGTATGATCATGAGTGGCCGCCCTGACCAGCTGCTGAAACATGTTGCGCTCGTTGGTGGGGTCCATGCCCTGGTTGATCCCACGTGACGTACACAGTGCTACTACCAGCCGTATGCCCATGCAATACCCACAGCGGCGTGTGGTCATGAGTGGCCGCCCTAACCAGCTGCTGAAACATGTTGCGCTCGTTGGTGGGGTCCATGCCCTGGTTGATCCCACGTGACGTACACAGTGCTACTACCAGCCGTATGCCCATGCAATACCCACAGCGGCGTGTGGTCATGAGTGGCCGCCCTAACCAGCTGCTGAAACATGTTGCGCTCGTTGGTGGGGTCCATGCCCTGGTTGATCCCACGTGACGTACACAGTGCTACTACCAGCCGTATGCCCATGCAATACCCACAGCGGCGTGTGGTCATGAGTGGCCGCCCTAACCAGCTGCTGAAACATGTTGCGCTCGTTGGTGGGGTCCATGCCCTGGTTGATCCCACGTGACGTACACAGTGCTACTACCAGCCGTATGCCCATGCAATACCCACAGCGGCGTGTGGTCATGAGTGGCCGCCCTAACCAGCTGCTGAAACATGTTGCGCTCGTTGGTGGGGTCCATGCCCTGGTTGATCCCACGTGACGTACACAGTGCTACTACCAGCCGTATGCCCATGCAATACCCACAGCGGCGTGTGGTCATGAGTGGCCGCCCTAACCAGCTGCTGAAACATGTTGCGCTCGTTGGTGGGGTCCATGCCCTGGTTGATCCCACGTGACGTACACAGTGCTACTACCAGCCGTATGCCCATGCAATACCCACAGCGGCGTGTGGTCATGAGTGGCCGCCCTAACCAGCTGCTGAAACATGTTGCGCTCGTTGGTGGGGTCCATGCCCTGGTTGATCCCACGTGACGTACACAGTGCTACTACCAGCCGTATGCCCATGCAATACCCACAGCGGCGTGTGGTCATGAGTGGCCGCCCTAACCAGCTGCTGAAACATGTTGCGCTCGTTGGTGGGGTCCATGCCCTGGTTGATCCCACGTGACGTACACAGTGCTACTACCAGCCGTATGCCCATGCAATACCCACAGCGGCGTGTGGTCATGAGTGGCCGCCCTAACCAGCTGCTGAAACATGTTGCGCTCGTTGGTGGGGTCCATGCCCTGGTTGATCCCACGTGACGTACACAGTGCTACTACCAGCCGTATGCCCATGCAATACCCACAGCGGCGTGTGGTCATGAGTGGCCGCCCTAACCAGCTGCTGAAACATGTTGCGCTCGTTGGTGGGGTCCATGCCCTGGTTGATCCCACGTGACGTACACAGTGCTACTACCAGCCGTATGCCCATGCAATACCCACAGCGGCGTGTGGTCATGAGTGGCCGCCCTAACCAGCTGCTGAAACATGTTGCGCTCGTTGGTGGGGTCCATGCCCTGGTTGATCCCACGTGACGTACACAGTGCTACTACCAGCCGTATGCCCATGCAATACCCACAGCGGCGTGTGGTCATGAGTGGCCGCCCTAACCAGCTGCTGAAACATGTTGCGCTCGTTGGTGGGGTCCATGCCCTGGTTGATCCCACGTGACGTACACAGTGCTACTACCAGCCGTATGCCCATGCAATACCCACAGCGGCGTGTGGTCATGAGTGGCCGCCCTAACCAGCTGCTGAAACATGTTGCGCTCGTTGGTGGGGTCCATGCCCTGGTTGATCCCACGTGACGTACACAGTGCTACTACCAGCCGTATGCCCATGCAATACCCACAGCGGCGTGTGGTCATGAGTGGCCGCCCTAACCAGCTGCTGAAACATGTTGCGCTCGTTGGTGGGGTCCATGCCCTGGTTGATCCCACGTGACGTACACAGTGCTACTACCAGCCGTATGCCCATGCAATACTCACAGCGGCGTGTGGTCATGAGTGGCCGCCCTAACCAGCTGCTGAACATGTTGCGCTCGTTGGTGGGGTCCATGCCCTGGTTGATCCCACGTGACGTACACAGTGCTACTACCAGCCGTATGCCCATGCAATACTCACTGCGGCGTGTGGTCATGAGTGGCCGCCCTAACCAGCTGCTGAAACATGTTGCGCTCGTTGGTGGGGTCCATGCCCTGGTTGATCTCGTCCACCACGCGGAAGGGGCACCGGGTGAGGTCTTGCAGCGATACGAGGTAGAGAATGGTGGACACAGAGCGCTCCTGGAGGGCAAAACAAGGGGGGGGGGGGGGGGGGGAGAAGGGAAGGAGGAACAAGACGCAGCATGTGCAGTCGTCCACCACGCGGAAGGGGCACCGGGTGAGGTCTTGCAGCGATACGACGAGGTAGAGAATGGTGGAGACAGAGCGCTCCTGGTGGGGAAAGCAGGGGGTTTGGATTGGAGGGAAGGAGGAACAGAAGGCAGCATATGCATTCATCCACCACTCGAAAGGGCCAGCAGGCCAGGTCCTGTCGTGACACCAGGTAAAGGATTGTGACACCAGGTAGGAGATATGGGTTGATGGTGGGTTCCACTCCATGCCCTGGTATTTGAGAATTCTCAAAGATGGAGAGAGGAGTGAGGGGTTGTTGGTGGGTTCCACTCCATGCCCTGGTTGATCTCGACTACCACTCAGGCAGCGCAGCGAGTCAGGTGGTCCTGTAGTGACACGACCAGGTAGAGGATGGTGGACACAGAGCGCTCCTGGAAGTGTTGAGTGAGGGGATGGAGAGAGGAGTGAGGGGTTGTTGGTGGGTTCCATGCCCCGGTAGAGGATGGTGGACACAGAGCGCTCCTGGTAGGAAGGGGAGAGCGGGGATGTTAGAGAGGTGCGGATGTGGAGAGGCGAGGATGCGTTGGTGGGGTCCATGCCCTGGTTGGTTTCATCCACCACTCGCAAGGGGCAGTGAGTCAAGTTCTGGAGAGCCACCGGGTACGAAGGGGCGCTCTGTGTCCCGGACACAGAGCGCTCGTGGTACGAAGGGGTGCTCTGTGTCCCGGACACAGAGCGCTCGTGGTACGAAGGGGAGAGTGGGGTAGCGGACAGAGGGAATGGAAAAACCAAAAAGAGCGGCGACAGGGAGAACAGGAGGGACGAAAGGGCAAGGGCAAGGAAAGCGAGCAGCGAAGCAAGCGGTGATGAAAGCAGCAAAGGCAAAGCGACAGCACAAGCAACGCATGCAGCTGAGTGAGTGAGCAGCGAAGCAGGGAGTCCAGCAACGCACCCCTCCTGACTGGTGGTGAGCACTGAGGTCCTGCAGCTCCGCACTCTCCCTGGTGGGGCAGGTGGGGGGAGGGGGGGATGAAGAGCGGGGGAAGGGGCGGAAGGGAGACACGAGGACAATACGGATGGAGAAGCGAGGCAGAAAACGAAATGGAAGAAACACAACCACGGGGACAAGAAAGAAACGAAACTTGTGCGACACGTTCCGATTTTCTGAGAGATGCGCATCTGACAAGAAAGCACACGTGAAGCAGAATCACCTGAAGACGAAGCACCTGAAGCCGAATCACCTGAAGACGAAGCACCTGAAGCAGAATCAACTGAAGACGAAGCACCTGAAGCAGAATCAACTGAAGACGAAGCACCTGAAGCAGAATCACCTGAAGACGAAGTACCTGAAGCTGAATCGCCTAAAGCTCAACAGCTGAAGGTAGATCACCTGACGGCAGATCACCTGAAGGCAGATCACCTGACGGCAGATCACCTGACGGCAGATCACCTGACGGCAGATCACCTGAACTTGACTCGGATTCGAATGCCGTATGAGCGGAAGTCAGCCCCCTTCTCATCTGATGGTGGTCAAGTAGCGGGGTGGTGCAGCGGGAGGAGGGAGTGCGGTGGTAGGAGGGAGTGCGGTGGTAGGAGGTAGTGTGATGGTAGATGTGTGGGGGTTGGTTGGAAGGCACAGGGTGATTCGTTAGCAGGCAGAGTTCGGAGCTCTAATAGTTGAGTGAGTCATTGGTTTGGTGGGCTAGGAATGAAGGAGATGGGATGATGTGGCACTTTTCCTCTCTACCATCCCTCCACCTCTCGCTCCCTCTTTTCGTCTCCCTTCCCTCCCTGCCCCATTCCAGTTTTGAGGCGCCTCAAAACTAAACTTCCCTTCCCTCCCTGCCCCATTCCAGTTTTGAGGCGCCTCAAAACTAAACTTCCCTTCCCTCCCTGCCCCATTCCCTCACCTAGCACACACTCACAATCCTAGCAAACTTCGTTTTTAAAAAAGTTTCCCTTGCCCTACTCACTCGTTCTCTTCCCCCCCAAACCCCCACCCCCCCACCCCCCCACCCCCCCTTTCCCCGCCCCTCCTTCCCTTTCTCACCTAGAGCCACCTCGCCAGCGACAGCCATTTCCTGGAAGTTTCTTGAGAAGGCCTCGTTGATGCGCACGACCAATGAGCGAAGGCGCGGCAGCCACTGGCCCTGTGGATGAGATGATGCCACGTGGCAGATGGTGATGGGAGGATGCCACGTGGCGGATGGTGATGGGAACATGACACGTGGTAGATGGTATTGAGAGGCCGACATTTGGCAGATGCGAATGATGGCACGTGGCAGAGGCGAATGGGAGAATGACAAGTCAGGTATCTAGCACAAGGCAACAGGAAAATGGCTTCTGGGTGGCCTATTTTTGAGGCGCCTCAAAAATAGACTCCTCAAGCATGGCAGACAGATGGCACGAATAAGGGCATGCGCAACTTGATCTGGTTTTGAGGCGCCTAAAAACAGGAAAATGGCTTCTGGGTGGCAGACAGATGGCACGAATAAGCTTTTGAGTCGCCTCAAAAGCAGACAGATGGCATGAATCAGGGCATGCGCTGCTTGATCCCTCTCCCCCACATGCCATTGTGCTGTTGTCACATTCACACACACCATACCCCCCCAATACAGTCACAGCAACCATAGCCCCACCCCCTCCCTCTCTGCACCCTCTCCACCTCTGCCTTGACTTGAGCTCCTCCAGCTGCTACAGTCACACACATCACACAGCCCCCCAATACAATCACAATCACCATCCTTCCTGTCACCCCCCTCACCTGCACCCTCTCTACCTCCGCCTTGAGCTCCTCCAGCCGCTGGCTCTCGCTCTCCACCTTGCCCTGCATGCTGCGGATCTGCGGGGCGAAGATGCGAGGGTGGGGGAATGTGCGGTGGAGGGGGGACAATAAGTGGGAGGGCTCTCGCTCTCCACCTTGCCCTGAATGCTGCGGATCTGGACGGGTGGGGGGTTGGGCGAAGGGAAGTGGGAACAAGACACGGACAAGTGACGTTGGACAATAGCCTTGCAGCTGCTGGCTCTCGCTCTCCACCTTGCCCTGCATGCTGCGGATCTGACGGGCGAAGATGCAAGGGTGGAGGAATGTGGAGTGGAGGGGGGACAATAAGTGGGGGGGCTCTCACTCTGCCCCTTGCCGTGCATGCTGCGGATCTGGAAGGGGAGGAAGGGGGGGGAGAGGGAGGGGGGGGGGGGTGTTTTGGTGGGGTGTTGGTTGGGGGGTGAGCAGGGGAAAGTGGGAACAAGGCAGCAGCACGGATAAATGAGGATGGAGAACAGTCTGGCAGCAGCAGACTGCCTCTCATTCCAGCCTGCATGCTGCGGATCTGGATGGGCGGGGGGGCTGGGAGGGGGGAGAGCAAGGCACGGGCATGTTAGGGTGGGGGGAGGGGGAGAGGTAGGAGGCGGGGGGGTTGGGTTCAGGAGCGTGTGTGTGTGTGAGACACTCTCACCCCTCTCCCCGCTCTTCAAATTGCTGCAGCACGAGCAGATGTTTCAGTGTGCACGCGAATGTAGACTTTTACATCATTCCTCTCTTTTTTCCGTCACCCTCTCACCTGCTCCTGCCGCTCTTGGAACTGCTGCAGCACGTGCGGGTTGTGTGTGTGTGTGTCGTAAAGTGTCTCTCACCTGCTCCTGGCGCTCCTGGAACTGCTGCAGCACGTGGGGGTTGGGGCACACAATGCGGTTCGCCTGCCCAGTGCGCTCCTCCACCTCTTCATGCAGCTCCTCCAGGGAGTCGGGCAGCTGAAAGCATGACAGCGGCATGGCACAGCGCACAGCGCACAGAGCACAGCGCACAGAGCACAGAGCACAGAGCACAGAGCACAGAGCACAGAGCACAGAGCACAGAGCACAGAGCACAGAGCACAGAGCACAGAGCACAGAGCACAGAGCACAGAGCACAGAGCACAGAGCACAGAGCACAGAGCACAGCGCACAGAGCACAGAGCACAGAGCACAGAGCACAGAGCACAGAGCACAGAGCACAGAGCACAGAGCACAGAGCACAGAGCACAGAGCACAGAGCACAGAGCACAGAGCACAGAGCACAGAGCACAGAGCACAGAGCACAGAGCACAGAGCACAGAGCACAGAGCACAGCGCACAGAGCACAGAGCACAGAGCACAGAGCACAGTATCAGAAACTGAGAACTTGATTGATTGAAATGAGCAAGAGCATACATCCTTAAGTACCGAGCATCGGAGAGGATGGGAAGGGATAAGGGAGAATCGGAGGGAATCCCAAGGGAATCCTCCCAAATCGTGGGGATTTGGGATGGATTGGGTTGGGATAGGTTGGGGATGAAAACATAGCTACACCCAACCTAACAAATATGGGTATCCCTAAAACCAACAAAGTGTCAACACACAAAATTGTGCCGACCGAATTGCAGCCTATCTCTAACACACCCCCTAGGCTGCAACGTCGGAAGCCGTAGGGACGCCAAGTCCCATGGTACGGAGGAGACGATAGTGATCACGGCGTCCAAGAGCCTTCGTAAACAAGTCGGCGAGGTTGCAGTCAGAGGAAATATGCTTGACGCACAACTGCCCTCGCTGGACGAGCTCGCGCATGAAGAAGTGTCTCAATTCGATGTGCTTGGTTCGTTGGTGGAAGACAGGATCTTTGGTGAGGTGGATAGTGCTCTCGTTATCACACCACAGAGTCGGGGTCTGCTGAGGATACCCGAGCTCAGCCATGAGGTAGGTAAGCCATCGAGCTTCTTGGGCTGCCATGGTGCCTGCGTATAACTCAGCTTCGCAAGATGACAATGAGACGGATGACGAGCGTGTAGATCGCCAGCTGATGACACCACTGCCAAGGGTGAAGCAATAGCCTTGGGAAGAGCGGCGGTCAGCTTGATCATCAGCCCATGAGGAGTCGCTGTATCCCTCGAGGTGAGGAGGGGTCGTGCCACCGAGAGTGAGGACGTAGTCCTTGGTGGCTTGGAGGTAGCGAAGGACGCGCTTAGCAGCCGACCAGTGGCGATTGGTGTATCGACCGGCAGCAACGTAACGCGAGAGCACACTGATGGGGTAGGCGAGGTCGGGCCTTGTGCACATCATCGCATACATGAGTGATCCGACGAGCTCGGGGTATGCCTCATCACAAGGCTCAGGCGATGGAACTGATGGAGTGGTCAGATCATGCTGCAAGGGAAGGGGAGTGGCCACTGGCTTGGCGTTGTCCATGGCAAAACGCTTGAGGACGTTGTTCACATAGAACTCTTGAGAGAGAGTGATGGTTCGAGCTTCGCGATCCCGCGAGATTTCCATCCCAAGGTAGTTCTTGAGTTCACCGAGGTCCTTCATGGCGAGAGCGTCCCCAAGAGCTTGCTTAACAGCTGCCAGCTGATCGGAGTCCTTGGAGACGAGAATCATGTCGTCAACGTAGACAAGGATGAAGAACGGGTTGTCGTTCTTGCGAATGAAGAGACTCGGATCGGCTGAGGAGGGGTGGAAGTCGAGTGACTCGAGGGTTGCCTTCAGCTTCTTGTGCCATTCCCGAGGAGCCTGCTTCAACCCGTAGACTGGTCGATTCAGCTTCCAGACCGTGCCGGGTGGAAAGGGTAAGGGAAATCCTTGAGGACGTTCCATGTAGATGTCCTCGGGGAGATCCCCTTGGAGAAATGCAGCAGAGACGTCCATGGAGTGAACGTCAAAGTTGCATCGAGCAGCAATGTCCAGCAGGGTCCGAAGTGTGGGCAGTTTGGCTGTCGGAGAGAATGTGTCGAAGAAGTCCAGGCCCTTCTTCTGCGTGAAGCCTTTTGCACAGTATCGCGCCTTGAAGACTGGGAGTTCGCCAGGCAGCTGCTTGACGCGAAAAACCCATTTGCCACGGACAATGTTAACTCCTCGCGGAGGAGAGACGTCCGTGAAAGAGTTGTTGCGAATGAATGCTTCACACTCCGCGATCATGGCTGCGAGCCACTGGGGGGAGTGTGGTCCAGAGATGGCTTCATCATATGAGTTCGGGGTCGGGATGGATGGATTTTCCGAGAAGTTAAGAGTTGGAGCGTCGGCAAGGTCGGGGAAGAGATGGCAGAGCTGACGGATGGCAGCATTGATCTCAATCAGCTCCTCATGCCTATCCTCCAAGAGGCCAGGCATGGATGCACCCCCGGCAGGAGGAGGCGGATTGAGGGAGATGCGAACAGAGAGGGCGAGAGGCGGAGCGGGACCATGAGAGCGGGTGCGGTGAGCAATAGGGACAGGAGAGGAGGGAGGTGGCGGGGGAGCAGGTGGGACATCGACATAAGAGCGTCCGTGGCGACGGCGACGATAGGTGATGGGCGAGTCGGGAGGAGAGGTGGAGGTTGGAGGCGGAAGCGGAGGTGAAGGCGGGGATGGAGGTGCGGGGGCAGGGGGAGCCACAGAAGGAGAGGGAGGTGGAGGGGCAGCTGCAGGAGCGGGTGCAGGGGGAAGTGCAGGCGCGGGCGGAGGTGAACGGGCAACTGAGCCAGTGGGCGAAGAGGGGTGAGAGAGAGTGGAAGGAGATGGGGAAGGTGAGAGTGAGGGGGCCGCAGGAGGAGCAGCAGAGGGAGGAGGTGGGGTGGGTGAAGTATCGAAATCGGCCCACACAAGCGAAGGTGGAGCGGTGGGGGGTGGTGAAGAGATGTAAAAAGGGCGACTCTCGTCAAAGGCGACATCGCGGCTACGAATGAGCTGATTGGTGGAGAGATTGAGGAAAAGGTAATCGGGAGAGTCCAGGTTGTGGCCGAGGTAGACACAGGGTTGAGCTTTGGGTGCAAATTTGCCGCCGTGGGTGCGACGTTCCTGAGGGTTGAGGAGGACATAAGCTGTACACCCCCATACGCGGAGAGGACGTGCACTGGGCTTGGTGCCGGTCCACAGTTCAGCGGGAGTGATGGCAGGCCGAAGAGGGTGAGGGTGAAGGTTGTACAGCAGCGTGGCATGAAGGAGGGCGTAACCCCAAAGGGAAGGTGGTGCACCAGCGTGAGTGAGAAGACAGCGAGCGATTTGCACGAGAGTGCGATTGCGACTTTCGGCAATGCCATTCTGCTGCGGACTGTGGGGAAGGGTGAAGGTCTGGCGAATGCCTTGGGAGGCACAGAACGCTTGAAGGGAATGGTTTCGAAATTCGCCACCGCCATCGGAATGGAGGCACTTGACTGAAGTGCGGAAATGATTTTGGGCTTGTCGAACCCATGCGATGACGACATCTGGAACAGCTGCTTTGGAGGAGAGTAGGTGGACGGAGGCATAGCGAGAGTGATCGTCAACGAGCACTAGGAAGTAAGAGTGCCCGCCACGAGAGCGGACTGGAGCTGGGCCCCAGACGTCCATGTGGACGAGGTCAAGCGGGGCGGCTGCAGCAGAGGGCGAGGAAGGGTGAGGCAACTGGCGTAGTTTGCTTTGCGCGCAGTCCAAGCATGGAGGAGCGGGAGAAGTGGAGGGTGGAGGAAGTGTGTCGGGCAGGTGAAGAAGCAACTTCTTAGACGCAAGCTCGGAGAGCATGCGGAAGTTGGGATGCCCAAGACGATGGTGGTAAAGAATGGTTGGATCGGTGAGCTGACGGCAGGAGCACGATGATGTGGTGGAGGTAGAGTGTGCTTCTGTGGAAGATGGAGGTACTTGGAGTGTGTAGAGGTTGTTGGCGGTCAGTGTGAAGCGTGCAAGTAGGGCATTGGTGGTGGGCTGAAGGAGATCACAGTGATTGGAATGAGCTGGGAAGATAGTGGTTACCCCTGCTCGTTGAATCTCATGTTGTGCAAGTAAGTTGTGCCGAAGAGTGGGCACGCATATGCCAGTGACTGTGCCAGATGGGAAGGCTGGGCATGGAAGAGTGGAGGAACCATGGGCGACAGTTGTGAAGCTGGAGTCAGCGCCCAGAAGAGGAATGGGTGCTTGGTATGGTTTGAAAGACTCTTTGTCTCGGAGGACTGTGTGGGTTGCGCCACTGTCCAGGACGAATTCAAGCGGTTTAGATGGTGTTTGTGGAGACGCCGAGTACTGGGAACTGGTTTCATTGATCATGGGAAGGCCAGGGAACAACAGGTTGAGACGAACATCAGGACTAGGGGCATGAACAGCTGAGTCCTGACTATCCTGTGCCTCAACCTGGTTGAGTTGGCGCATGCGAAGCCAGTTGGGCGGCTTGGAGTTGATACCATTCTTGGCGAACCAGTCGTCGTCCTTCTTTTTGAAACAGGTGGCGAGCGGGTGATTGGTGCCGCCGCACACTTGACCCGCACGGGGTCCCATTTTGATGACGTAAGGACAGGGTGGGTAGCGGTTACGAGTGGGTGGCGGATTGGGACGCGATGCTGGAGCCGGGACAGGAGCGCGAAGCGCATTTGCACGAGCCTGCGCAGTGTTGTCTTTTTCAGCAGAGAGAAGTGCGGAAGAGACTTTGGCAAAGGTTAGCTCTTCTGGCGGGAGATGGAGAAGCATGGAGCGGGTGACATTGTAAGAGGGGGTCAGCCCAACAAGCAGAGCTGCTGCAGGGGCTTGCTCTGGGAAGACAATGCCGAGTTGCTTCAGCTCCTGATGAATCCCTTGAATTTCAGCGACGTAATCTGCCATTCCAGGGCACTCCTCCAGACGCACTTGAAACAAGCGGGGGATGAGGATCGCCACCCCCACAGCGGTTTTGTTGAGGAAGCGGTCGTTGAGGTACTCCCAGATGGTGTGCGCGGAGGGGTAGTTATGGTAAGTTTTGACGAGCTCGGAAGGGGTAGTGCCGACGAAGACGCCAATGATAGCGGCGTCGGCTTGCTCCCACACGCTGTAAGATTCTTCATACTTGGACATGGATTCCTCATGGGTTTTTAACTCTTCCCCTGTGGCTGTGGCCGAGAGCCTCTTGGGAAGGATCGGCATCTTTCCTTTGCCGCGATTGAGGAGGACATCCTTGAGGCAAATCCCCTCAATTTTGCGGCTTAGGAGATGCTTATCAACCCCATAGCTCCATTCCTTGAAGTTCGGGCTCGAGCCATTAGGGTCGAGGCGCAAGAGAGTGATCGGGTTTGAGAGAGACGCGGAAGGATACGCCATGATGCTCCAAGGACCCTTTCTCCGCGCGTAGCGCAGCTCTTAAGTCGCCGATAGGCACTTCGGCGCAGCGCGGGCTCCGCGAAAAACAGGATTTCCCTTTGCGGATTTTCAACACTCGGAGAAGAGGAATAGCCGATAAAGAGGGAAATCTGAACGCCGAAAATCTATGGAAACCCGCGATGTGCTGCTGCAATCCCGCTGCTCCGCGACCCCCCCTTTTCCGCTTCGCCGCTGCCCCCTTTCCGCTTCGCCGCTGCCCCCTTTCCGCTTCGCCGCTGCACCCCCCCGCTGTTGCAAGGGCGACGGGCGACAGCCCGTCCAGCTTCGACGAGCAGATGCGGGGCGACGGGCTCAGCCCGATCAGGTGCGACGAGCAGATGCGGGGCGACGGGCTCAGCCCGATCAGGTGCGACGAGCAGATGCGGGGCGACGGGCTCAGCCCGATCAGGTGCGATGAGCAGATGCGGGGCGACGGGCTCAGCCCGATCAGGTGCGACGAGCAGATGCGGGGCGACGGGCGTCAGCCCGAAGAGACGAGCCGCGCAGATGCGGGGCGACGGGCGTCAGCCCGAAGAGAAGCGCCGCGCTGAGTTGAGGCGACTAGAAAAGCTTTGCGTCGTAAGACGCAAATGCTAGGCTCCAACGGAGCGAGAGGATCAAGAGCCGCTTAGGCGGAAACGAGCTCTGATACCATATCAGAAACTGAGAACTTGATTGATTGAAATGAGCAAGAGCATACATCCTTAAGTACCGAGCATCGGAGAGGATGGGAAGGGATAAGGGAGAATCGGAGGGAATCCCAAGGGAATCCTCCCAAATCGTGGGGATTTGGGATGGATTGGGTTGGGATAGGTTGGGGATGAAAACATAGCTACACCCAACCTAACAAATATGGGTATCCCTAAAACCAACAAAGTGTCAACACACAAAATTGTGCCGACCGAATTGCAGCCTATCTCTAACACACAGGGCACAGGGCACAGCGCACAGAGCACAGAGCACAGAGCACAGAGCACAGAGCACAGAGCACAGAGCACAGCGCACAGAGCACAGAGCACAGAGCACAGAGCACAGAGCACAGAGCACAGAGCACAGAGCACAGAGCACAGAGCACAGCGCACAGCGCACAGCGCACAGCGCACAGAGCACAGGGCCCAGAGCACAGAGCACAGCGCACAGCGCACAGCGCACAGCGCACAGCACACAGAGCACAGAGCACAGAGCACAGAGCACAGAGCACAGCGCACAGCGCACAGAGCACAGAGCACAGCGCACAGCGCACAGAGCACAGAGCACAGAGCACAGAGCACAGAGCACAGCGCACAGAGCACAGAGCACAGAGCACAGCGCACAGAGCACAGCGCACAGCGCACAGGGCACAGGGCGGAGGGAGAGACAGGCTATTAAAACCCGCAGCCCAAATTGCAAGGCGCAACCTGCAAATGCGGTGCAAATGAAAGGGGAGCTAGGGGTAACGCAGTGCAATTGAAAGTCTTACTTTCGTGGGGGTCTAGGGGTAACTTTACTCTCGTCACTTGAGGGGTTGTTTTCAAGTTGAGTGCGCAAAGCAATTTGGGACTTCATGTGCTCACTGTTTCATAGCCGTCCGATTGTCATCATCAAATGGCCAGTAATCCAAGGTTTCCATACACTGCAAACCCCACCCCCCGTAATTTTTGTGGGCCGTCCGATCTGATTCTGACAAAATCTGACGGACCACATTCCAATTGAACATTCGCCACCTCAGGCTGCCAGAGGCTTCAGAGGCCGCCTCCGCCTCCAGCGAGCCAGGGAGCCGGATTCAAGGCCACACACAATGTTTGGAGACGTCTCGAGCGAAACAGCGTGCACAGTAGCAGGGCGAAGGGGAAGAGCAGCAGAATCTTTTACCATCACCACCGTGTCCAAGAAAACCTCCTGAAACACCCTTTCCAAAGAACACCCTCTTCGAACCTTCTTAACCATTCCCACCACATCAAACCAAACCCTCTCATCCCTCCTCACCGTTTCAAATAGCTTCTTGGCCTCCTCGTCTCCCATCAGGTCCACCACCCCCCTCGCGGTAGCTAGCACCTTTTGAGTTGACTCAACGCACACCTGCACCCCTCCTCACCCCATCAAGGACACCTTCTCACCCCTCCTCACCGTTTCAAACAGCCTCTTGGCCTCCTCGTCTCGCCTCAGGTCCACCGCCGCTCTCGCCGTTGCCAGTGCTGCGCCCACCTCCTGCTTCGATGCCTGCAGACGATCCTCCTCTGTTCCGGCATTGGTGGCGGGAGAGGGGGAAAAGAGGGGGTGGCCTCATCTCAACTCAAGTGCCTCCTGCTTCGCTGCGTGCATGCGATCCTCCTCCGCAAGAGAGAGAGGAGAGAGAGAGCGAGAGAGAGAGAGAGAGCATGAGTCCCTCCCTAGCTATTTAAGCCCTCTCCCTAGCTCATTCTTCTTGTCTAGTTTTCAGTTCTTCATTTTCTCCCACCCTTGGTGGCGGCTCGCATCGGCGGCCTCCGGCCGCCGACGCTCGCGGCGCGGCCTTTGGCCGCGCGTGAGGGGCGGCAAGTACACACGGTTACAATATCAACTAGGACAACGGCAAGAACACAAATACGGCGTCTACATCCTGCCAACACTACACTCGGCAGACCAGCATGGAGAGCCTCACCGAGCTTATCAGAGCGCTCACGCTGGGGCGCACTTCACCAACAAGGACCTATACACGACGGGAGCCCGTCATGCGACTTGGTCCGCTCCAGCTTCCTCAAGCAGGGCCTTCACATAGTCCCCCAGGAGCATCAGCGCTGACACCGCGCCGCCAACGATGTCTACAGCTGCAGCCGAGTCTACGCTTGCCGATACTGCCCGCATCACGGCGAGCAGGCGCGGGTCCAACACGGTTCCCGAGGCGGGCGCAGGCTGCACTCGCGTTGACACGACAGCCAGATCAGCTGCAGCCATCGCACAGCGGTGGAGTGGATCATGCGGCATCTTGCACGGGCTCGCTGAGCTCCGTAGAACGGAGTGCGAGTCCGTCAGCATCTCCACAACATACCCCATCGCCCGCTGCGCGTGCCAGAGCCGACGAAGCGTGGCGACTGGGATCGCAGTCTCCGCCAGGCGCTCCCTCCCACGCAGGCGCTCCAGCTGCGCCCTCTGCGGCATCCGCAGCCCAACCGAGCGACGCCGCCCCTGGTCCCCAGGAGGCAAGTCCTCACCGGTGGACTCAGCCCCCCCCATCTCCGCTGCTTCTGCCCCCCCCTCAACTCCAGTCGGCGACGCCAGCGCGCGACGAGGGGGGACAAAGGGCGCTGTCGCCCGATCGCCGAACGACGCTGGAACCATTGACGGAAGCTGGCCGTGGGGCCATCCTACCACCAATGCATCCAGGGGCTTCGGCTGCCAGGGCGGCAGGGTCTCCGCGGACTGCACGTTCAGCTGACGTGGATCGAGGGGACCGACAGAGGGGAGGATCGGCGGTGGAGGTGCGGACAGAGGAGGCGGCAAGAGGTGCTGGCTGTCGGGGAGCAGGGGGGACGTCACAGCATGCGGCGGGAACACCTGCGCCGGCACCGGTGGCGGCGGGAAACGCGCCGGCTGCTGGTGCGCCTGCTGGTATTGCTGGGATGACAGAAGCTGCGGGGAATACGCTAGAGCCGGCTGGGGTTGGGCGACAGCGCGGACCAAGCCCTCGAGAGTCGCGGCAGCCCGCCCCAGGCGCCTCTCCGCTGCCGATCCGCGGTTACTCCCCCCGCCAGCCCTCCAGCCGACGCGCTGGCCCGAACACCCGCGCGGCGCCTGCGGAGTCCGATGCTGCTGCACCGGCTCCAATTGCAGGCGGCGCTGGGGCGTCCCACGGCGAGAGGAATGTTGCTGGTGCGACGGCTGATGCACCTCGCCATGCGTCACAGGTCCACGACCTGTCTCCAAGGCGTGCTCGGGAGATTTCTCCTCGTGCCTCTACGGCGCGGATGGTCGACTCCGCGATCGCCCACGCATCCGCTCGAGGGTCAGTTGGCGAGCCGTCGAGGGGACGAGGAGCCCACGCTCCCAATCACGGCTTGACTGGGCAGGAGGACTCGCCTGACCTTGGGGGGACACACTATCCCCGGTGCTCTCCAAATCGGAGGAGCGTTCACGAACGGGTCGGCCCAGCCCGAACCTCGATGGCTGGACCATCACGAAGCGGCGCGCTGCTCTTGGCTCCCCCCACGACTCGGCACGAACGTCGGACAGCGACCGGGGTAGCCCCGAGAGGAAATCAAGGAGGAGGACGCGGAAGACACGATAGGCGGGCGGTAAGAGGGCGCGGTCGCGGGACGGCTAGGAACGGCGATTTGTCCTCCGACGGAGGACCGCTGAACGGATTCCAGCAGGCTGCGAACAGGGCTTTAAGAGCTTCAGAATTGCAAGGAACAACTGGTGAGGAGGAACGGGCCGATGGAACCTATATACCCGGGGAGCAGGGGGAGTCCACAACTGAGACATCCAGTGACGAGGAAGGCGTCGAGACGAACAGGCGCGCTGGAGTAAGAGAAGCTGGCCCAACCCCCAGATCTAGGGGACGAGGGTCCAGCCGCATGCGTAATACTCGGGCACCGCTGGACACCCATCCCCAGGCGGCTCCGCAGCTGTCCCCAGAAGAGCTGGCAAATGACGCCTCCCGATTCGCCGAGATCGCCAATTGGGACATCGCAATTCTCTGCGACAGTCGCCAACTCCCTCTCTCCCGCCGGTTACCCCCCCAAATCCGTCAACTTTTCGCGTTCGCCTTACTGACACCCCTCCTTTTCCTCGCCAAACATCCAACCTCCATCGAGGGTTGGATCCTGTTACTCTACCTCCCGTGCCTCACCCTTCGCCTACCTTCACCGAGACGTCCTGATTGGCCCCCGGCGGAAAAACGCCTTCGACAATTTCTCGCGGGTCAATGGGACACACTGTACCAAGCAGTCGCTTCCGCTGTCACCCTGCCACCCCCACCCCGCCACGTACCTGACACCCTTGGAAAAATATCCCGAGCCGAGGGATTGGTACGACGCGGCAGCTTGCGACGGGCACTGCTCGCGTTGACTTCAACCCCAGTCAGCGAGTCCACCCCCGCGGTCCTGGATGCGCTGAAGTCAAAACACCCCCCCCTGCTCGTCGAAAACCTCAGCTGGCTGTAGCTGGACGAGGACTGCAGATCGCCGACAATCGACTTCGCTGATTTCGCGAAGCTCCTCTCTCGCTGTGAAAATGGGGTTGGAGCGGGGCCCTCGGGAATGACCTTCGAGCACCTTCGCGATGCCTCGCTATCCAACCCCTCGGTCGCCAAACACCTTCACGAGCTCGTTCAGCGCCTAGTTGCGGGTAACCTGCCACACGAAGTCAGCCAGCTCATGACTTCTTCATGCCTCCTGGCACTTACCAAACCAGATGGGGGTACTCGCCCCATCGCTATAGGCGAGTGTCTGCACCGACTAGCAGCTAAATCCGCACTCATCTCCTCAACGCAGCCGGCGCAAGACTATTTCCTACCACACCAATTCGGGGTAGCTATCACGAGCGGAGGAGAAATCATCATCCACGCCACCAGGGGTTTTACCTCCGCGCACCCGGGCTCGCTGATTCTGCAAGTCGACCTCTCAAACGCGTTCAACAGCGTCGACCGCGGGGCCATCATTCACGCCATCAATAACTCGCCCCTGCGCCCCCTCCTACCGTTCATACAGTTCTCGTATGGGGCACCGTCCCTGCTTTACCTCGACGCAGAGTTCGGTAGCCCACCCCTACTGAGCGCGCGGGGAGTCCGCCATGGGGACCCCATGGGCCCCCTCCTCTTTGCGGCTGCCATCCACCCAGCACTCCAGGCCACCGCGGCGGCCCACCCCGGGGTTCTCTGCCTCGCTTACGCAGACGACGTAACTTTCGTGGGCGATCCGGACGCCTGCACCTTGGCGTTCCTAGACTTCACTGCCGCCATGGAACGCATCGGTCTCTCCCACAACCACGCAAAATGCGCAGCATGGTCAGCCGAGCGCCCTGCGACTGCCTGCCTTCCGCCAGACATACCTTTCAACAGAGACGGGGTCCGCGTGCTTGGCAGTTTTACAGGCACGCCAGAAGGCACAGCCGGCTTCCTCCGCACCCAGCTGGCCGTGCTTGCCGAACCCCTCGCCACACTGGCCACGATGGACCCACAGTCCTCCTCCCTCCTCCTCACACGCTGCGTATCCAGGCGCGTCTTGTACTTAACCCGCACCACCCCCCTTGATTTCCTGCCCCTGGAGGTCTGGTCCGAGTGGGGCAGAGAGCTATTCCACACCCTACTACGCGCCTGCAACCTCCAACCATCACGAGTCAGAGCAAGCGCGTACCTGGGCCCAAGCGTCCCTCCCTCCCTCTCTCGGAGGGCTGGGGCTCACCGACCCAGCGATTGAAGGGCATCCAGCCTTCCTCACCAGCGTCACCCAAGCCCAGGGCCTCCTAGCTGCCCTCCCAGCAGCGTCCAGAGGGCCCCTAGCCGACTCTGTACGCCACCTCACACCACCCTTCACCAGCCCCACCCACTTGCATACCTGGCTGGCGAAGTGTGAAACGGCGATGCCCCCAAGGGCCCTGGAGCTTCTACAATCCGAGCGGGGGGAACCCTCGGGCTCCCCTCTCCAACACCGCCTTTCCCTCGAAGTCCAGGCCGTGCGGTACGCCGACCAGGTGGCGACCTCGCGGACAATGGACCCAAACCCCCACTCCGGCCATACGCAGCACCTCTTCTCCTTGGCGAGATATGGAGCAGGAGATTTGCTCCATGCCATCCCAATCTTCCCATCCCTCCGCCTCGAAGCTCCACACTTCGCCATTGCCCTGGCCTTCCGCCTCGGCCTTCCGTTCCCAGCCCCCCGCACCTGCAACTGCGCCGAGGAATTCGAAATCCTCGACACAAGGCTGCCCAACCACCTTTTTCGGTGTGGCACCGGGCACGGACGGACAGACACCCATAACGCCCTGCGGGATGAAAGCATCCGGATGGCCCGGGACGCTGACTTCATAGTCACCAAGGAAACCACCATCTACAGCCCTGTGGACGGCCACAAGGCCGACCTCGCACTTCGCGACCGCAGCTCCGGCGCTGTCTGGATCTGTGACGTCACCGTCACAGACCCCATCAGCAGCCGGGACCCGGACGCACGAAAAGGTCGAGGATACATGGCCCGAGAGCAGGCCGATAAGAAAATCCACCATTACCGCAACAGGGCTCCCTACGCTGGTTTCTTCCCACTGGCGGTCGAGACATACGGCTGCCCCTGCGCCGAAGTCCCCACCTTCCTGAAGCTGCTGGCAGACACAGGTGCCAGGAGGCTCTTCAACGCGGACCCCACTTCCTACCAAGCAGCAAAACTGCTCCACCAGTTCCGCCAACGCTGGTCAGTGACGCTACAGCGGGCGCAGGCCTTGGCTTACCTGGGCAAGGTTAATGAAGCCTCCCCTGCCCCCCACACCCCGTGGGCACCCCTGACGCCGACATGGCACCTGGGGACTGCTTTGCCATAGCAGAGCCCCTAGGGGAGCTCGAGTAGAATCGAGCCCCTAAACATGCACGTACATTGACTTGTTGCCTCTTGCCTGCCTAGCCTGTACCCAGGATTCCAAGCAATAAACGGACCGCTTGAGGGAGGAAAGAAGGAGAGAGGGGGGAGAGTAAGGAGAGGCTGTGCTTTGAAGTGCCTTACAGCACAGCACATGGTTGGAACTGCAGGAAAGCCGTTCACTCATCCCTCCATCCCCTCTCAACCCTCACCTCGTGTCTTTTGAGTTGACTCAAAAGTCATCCCGTGCACTCATCCCTCCATCCCCTCTCAACCCTCACCTCGTGTCACCTCCTCCGGCGGAAGCTTCAGCACCTGCTCGTCCAGGTCCTTTGAACTCGCTCTCACTAGTACCATCTCCATCACCCAGAGCTCCTCACGCCATCACCCATGACCTCTAAACCCTGACCTCGCATGGCCTCACTCACCCCCGCTCACCTGACCTCAACCCCGCTCACCTAACCTCAACCCCGCTCACCTCGCATGACCTCCTGCTGCAGCCTCTGCGATGCTCTTCCAAGTCCTTGAACTCACTCTCTCTCGTACCATCTCCACACGAATAAGCCTTGCGCCATCACCCATTACCTCTCACCCATTACTTCTCACCCATTACCTCTCACCCATTACCTCTCACCCATTACTCGGAACCTTAAACGCCTCACTGCCCCTCACCCCGCATGACCTCCTGCTGCAGCCTCAGCAGCTGCTCGTCCAGGTCCTTGAACTCGCTCTCTCGCTCCCGCACCTGGCGGGGTGAGATGGGTGGATGGGCGGATGAGAGGGCATATATGATGCATCATATGGCTGAGCATTGGATTCGCTGCGCGGCCACATCCTTGAACTCACTCTCTTGTTCACGCCCCTGGTGGGTTGAGATGGGATGCGATGGATGGGATGGGAGAGTAACCATGGCATGGGTGTGGTGTGAGCAGGGTGCATGCATGTGCATGTGCGCAACGTGTATGTGATGTGCGCATGGCGCATGTGATGTGAACACATGTCAACATGTGAGAAACTCCTTATCATGGCGAGGCGGAAAGGTACCAGGAAGGTGAGGTTGTAGGAAGTTACCAGGAAGGTGAGCTCGTCTACTGCGAGTTGCAGGGAGGAGAGACGGCGCTTCTCCTGCCACAGGCCGAGCAGGTGCTTCTGGGGGAGGTGAGGAGGAAGGGAGGGGGAGAGGGGAAGGGAAGCACACACAGACTCTATCAGTCCTGCCACAGGCCGAGCCGGTGCTTCTGGGGGAGGTGAGAAGGGAGAAAGGGGGAGTCGAGGGGGACACACACACACACGCACACGCACACGCACGCGCGGGCGCGCGCGCGCGCACGCACGCACGCACGCACGCACAGACTCCATCAGCCGTGCCACCAGCCGAGCAGGTGCTACTGGAAGGGGGGGGGGTGGAATGAGGAGAGGAGGGGGGAGGGGCGAGGGGGAGACTAGCGATGACGCGAAGGTGTTTCTGAGGAGGGAGAACACGAGGAAGGGAAGGAGCGATCAAGAGGAAAGACAAAGAAAGCGGAAGGAACGAAGAGAAGAATAGGAGGCAGAAGGAATGAGGAACTGTGGTTAAGTAGTTTAGTTTTGAGACATCTCAAAACTGAACTGGTTAACCATGGAACAAGAGAGGGGAAGGAATGAGGAACAAGAGAACAGAGAGGGAGAACGAAGGAAAATGAGAGAAGGAAGAGCAATGCAAGAGGCCTGCTGGCACCCACATGCATCTTCTTGGCGTTCCCTACCTGCCGCTCTATGATCCGAGCAATGTCGCCCCTCGCCCACCTCTCCATGTAACCTACAGTCCAACTGTTGTGCCACTAACATGTGTCTTTTTGGCGTTGGCCAGCTGTCTGCCCATGACGTTTACAATGTCCGCCCTCGTTTTGAGGCACCTCTTAAAAGTATGTCCACTTGTGCCCTCCACACTCCACTAAACCCACAACGCATCTTTCCATGTGCCACCCACATGCGTCTTCTTGGCGTTGGCCAGCTGCCTGTCCATGATGTTTGCAATGTCGGCCCTCGCCCGCCTCTCCATCTCCTCCATGTCCTCGCTGCGCCCCAGAGACGCCACCAGCTCGCGCTTCTGGACTGAACGCGGTGAAGAAGGGGGGGGATAGGGGAGAAGGGGGAACATGGAATAAGGAGGGGGTGGGGGGGGGTGGGGGGGGAGGGACATAGACTACAGAGTTCTAATTTCGTTAAAAAATAAAACATCGCAATCGCAAAAAAACGATTTTTTGCGATGCGATGTGATTTATTCCGCTGATGTCGGGAGGGGTGGTTAGGGTGGGTGGGCTAAGGGTTTAGAAAGGCGAGTGGCACTGAGCCAGAGGTGGAAGGGAGAATTTACCCTCTTTTATTTCTAGTAGCATTTCTAGCAGTCGCTGCCACACAAAGTCATGGCGCTCAAGTAGTAGTCCCGTGGCGCTGAGCCAGAGGTGAGAGGGTGATTTCCAGAGCAGAACGCATATGAGGGATGAAACGTCCCACTGATCCCACTGTTCACTTCATCCCAAAACTGCCCCACTGATGGTGCAAGAAGACAAGTATGAGGAGGGATTGTTTTAGAATTTTCAAGTAGGAGGGGGAGAGGGGGAGGGGGGGAGGAGGAGGGACAGTGCGTTGCCCCCCCCCCAGTACTCACCAATGCGGATGTGGAAGTAACAACCAGAACCTTCAACCAAAAACCTACCATAACCCAAACCCCAAACCTGAAACCTTCAGGACTCACGAATGCGGCTCTGGACGTCCTCTCGCTGCTTCTTCTGGCCCATGTACCGATTCACAATCTCCTCCTGCGGGGTTCAGAGCGGTGCAAGGCGGTGGCTCAGTGCCATTAGAGAACTGCGATGCGAAACCTTCACTCCCCAGTGATATTAGCTTGTAAAGTGACAAGGGGCCATATCCTGTGGAGGCTGACATGAAAGAACGCCCTGCTTACACGGTCACTCCCCTCCTCGGCCACCATCCCTTTTCTCCCCTCAATCTCTGACTGCGCTCCCTGCACCTTCCACTCCCACAGTCCCACTCCACCCGTCACTCCCCACTCACTCCACCCCTCACTCCCCACTCACTCCACCCGTCACTCCCCACTCACTCCACCTGTCATTCCTCACTCACTCCACCCCTCACTCCCCACTCACTCCACCAGTCACTCCCCACTCACTCCACCAGTCACTCCCCACTCACTCCACCCCTCACTCCCCACTCACTCCATCCCTCACTCCCCACTCACTCCACCCCTCACTCCCCACTCACTCCACCCCTCACTCCCCACTCTCTCCACCCCTCACTCCCCGTCTCTCCCTCTCAGCGCTGTCGCTCTCACGTCTCTTACTGCGCCTCCAACACCCGCTGCTCGCACCTTTGCGTCGACTCAAAATGCTCCTCTCCTTGACCGCCAGGCCAGCACCTCTCCTGCACCTCCCGGACCCTCATTCTCCCCTCACTCAACCCCCTTCACTCCACATCCATCCCTTTCTCAAACCACCACACATGTTTCTTTTACCCCCTCTCACCCGCTGTCTCTCTCCCTTCTGCCCCCCTCTCCCCTGCTGTCTCTCACACAGAGAAGCCTCATTCTCCAGCTCCCACTGCTCCCGCTTCACCGCCTGCTTCTGCATGCGTTCCTGCACCTCCCTGCCCTTCATCCCCCCCCCTTAACTCTCTCTTTCGCTGTCTCTTCCACACAAGCCTCACCCGCTGTCTCTCGCACTGTGAGGCCTCGTTTTCAAGCGCCCGCTGCTCCCTCTTGACCGCCTGCATGCGCTCCTGCACCTCCCTGCCCCTCGCCTCCACCCTCTCCTTCTCCGCATGCAGCTGCTCCTCCTCCTGCAGCCCCGAATCTGACGCACTCAACACAGACACAGAGGAGCACACAGAGGAGCACAGAACACAGAAACAGGATGAAATGCATGACGTTTGCGAGGCCTCAAAATGTTTCTCTTCCGCCTGCACGCCTGAGTCTGGCGCACAGACACACATCGAGGAGGAAACACATGGCTTTGGAGACGCCTCAGGGACGCTCCTTCTCCTGCACGCCGGAGTCTGGTGCACAGACACACAGACACACAGAGGAGGAAATCCATGGCTCTTGAGACGCCTCACATACTTGCTCTTCCTCCTGCAGGCCGGGGCCTGATGTACAAATGAAGGAGGAAAGCACGCAAGGACGCCAAGAGGAAAGAAAAAGAGCATAAACATGGATACATTTGTACTGCACGAGCAGCACTTCCAGGGCATAGTCCGTGCAGGGCAGCAGCAGCTTGTAAGCAGTAAGCTGAAGGATGTAAACGTGTGCTTCAAGCCTATTCACAAGCGCTTCAGCAAGCTTGAGCCCACCTTAGGAGAAGAAGCAGGAGGGAGGGGCGCACGCACTGCATGCTGGCAGCTCTAAGGTGTATAAAGCGGTAACTGTTAGAATATCCTACTATGCTTATTAGCCTCCATAGATTCGTTAGTCTTGAGTAGACTTAAGCGCCCCACTACAAATAGGGTGTAATAACCCTAATTGGGGGTTGGGTTCCCAACATGGTTGGGGTCACAATTATTTGGGACCCCCAATAATCCCCACCAGGATTATTGGACCACCAATAATCCTGGACAGAATATTGATGGGGGCCAATAATCTTGGCCAACTCTCAACCGACCCCCCTTCCTAATTCTCACCTATGCAAGCTCCCTACTTTCCTAATCAATCCAGCCTTTTGAATTCTCACAGTAACAAGCAAGGAGGGCTATCGCTGTACCTTCAGCGAAGAAGCGGGAGGCGCGCACGCCGTGCATGCTGGCGGACACAGACCCGTTGTAGCGTGACCGCTGCCAGCGGTAGTGGCTGTCGGGCGTCCACAGGTCCTCCACGCCCCGGCCCTGTATGTCCTCCGCATGGCGGTCAGCGTCGCGTGACCCGATAAACTGAAGGAGTGTGAAAGTCAAGGGTATGAGTGAGAGGGGGAAGGGGGTGTGTGTGGCTGCCGGGTGTCCACAGGTCCTCCACACCCTGGCACTGTATGTCCTCCGCATGGCGATCAGCTTCCCGTGACCCGATAAACTAATGGGGAATGAGGGGCGATAGGAGAAGGGAGGGTGTGTGGCTTACTATCAGCGTCCAAAGGGGCTGATGGTACGGGTGTGTGGCTTACTATCAGCGTTCAAAGGCGCTGATAGTAAGGGTGTGTGGCCTACTATCAGCGTCCAAAGGGGCTGATAGTAAGGGTGTGTGGCTTACTATCAGCGTCCAAAGGGGCTGATAGTAAGGGTGTGTGGCTTACTATCAGCGTCCAAAGGGGCTGATAGTAAGGGTGTGTGGCCTACTATCAGCGTCCAAAGGGGCTGATAGTAAGGGTGTGTGGCTTACTATCAGCGTCCAAAGGGCTGATAGTAAGGTTGTGTGGCCTACTATCAGCGTCCAAAGGGGCTGATAGTAAGGGTGTGTGGCTTACGGCCACACACCCTTTAGCCGCACGGCGTGTTCTATACAAGGTGTTGAAAGAACAAGGGAGATGGGAAGAGAGTGTGGGTTGACTCGCACACTGCATGCATGCACCATGGCACCCAGACACGCATATGCCAGAGCCCGCACTCGCTGACACGTGCACATGCAGATCGGAAGAGGTGCGACTGCTGGTTGAGCACGCGGCTGGTTGAGCACGCCGCTGGTTGAGCACACGGCTGGTTGAGCACGCCGCTGGTTGAGCACGCTGCTGGTTGAGCACGCCGCTGGTTGAGCACGCCGCTGGTTGAGCATGCCGCTGGTTGAGCACGCCGCTGGTTGAGCACGCTGCGCACCACTAAAAGCGTTATAGCACCCACACATGCATGCACACACCCGCAGCACTCACGGATCGGAAGAGCTGCGACTGCTGGTTGAGCACGCTGCGCACCACGGGCGCCGCGTTGAACACCTCGTCCAGGCGGTGCGTCACACCCAGGCGCTGCAGCTGGTGGGGAGGGGGGGTTGGGAGGGCGTTGGGGTGGGGGGGGGGGTGGTTTGTGATTGAGTCGACTCAGAATACACCAGGAGCAGCATTGAAAACCTCGTCCAGCTGGTGCGTCACACCCGAGCGCTGCAGCTGGTGTGTGGGGGGCGTGAGGAAGAGGGGAAGGAGGTGAGTGAGGGGGGGAGGCAGTGAGAGCGGAAAAAGAAGGGAGCATATCACCCACTCGTCCTTCACTCACGTGTTCATTCTTGCTCACATGTGCATCCATAACAGTAGATGGCAAGATTCAACATCACTCATGTCATATGTTTATCCACAGCCAGCCATGGCATGGTATGCACAGCACCACACATCACTCACATGTACATCCATATCTCACATGAGCATCCACCACCATGTCAAATGGGTCACTCACATGTGCATCCACTGCCATGGCATGTGCAGGTGGTCCCAGCTCCTCCGGTCGGCTGCTCTCATTAACCACTGCCATGCCCAGGGGCTTTAAGTGGCGCACAAGCAGATCCCGGTCCTCCGAGACTGTGGTCACGAAGGCCTGCAGGGGAGAGCAGAGGGCGACAATGATGAGTAGGTCCGATACTGTGGTCACCCCCTGTCACGCCAAGCCGAGGGCTTTAAGTGGTGCACAAGTAGATCCCGGTCCTCCGAGACTGTTGTCACGACAGCCTGGAAGAAAACGAGGCAAACCGACAGAGCGGTTCTATGGCAGCTCAGCATAGCGAGGCTGCTTTTGTTGCCGACTGCCATGCCCAGGGGCTTTAAAGTCGGCGTCTACATTTAGGTTGGCATTTCCCAAATGCTGACTGGCGAAAAATGTAATTTTGGCGAGGCCATTTTGCCTTCGTCATTTTCGGCGAGGGTGGGAGTCGAAATTGAGGGGAGGGGGAATCGAAATCGAGGGGCTGGGGGGAATCGAAATTGGGGGGCTGGGGGAAATCGAATGTGGGGAGCGGGGAAGAATTTGGACTGTTGGGGTGAGAGGAAGGAGAAATTGGGAGCGGGAGCCCTAAAGAATTGGGGCTGGAGGGATCGGAATTGAGGGAGGGGGGAGTCAAAATCGAAGGGACGGAACAATCAGTCGTAAAATGTCGTAAATCACTGGAGCCCTGGCAAGAGCGAGAGAATCCTGGCAGGTATATGGGGTTACTGATTTTCAAATCTTTAAAATTTGAAATTCTCAACCTAAATGCACACTGGCTTTAAGTGGTGCACCAGCAGGTCGCGGTCCTCAGGGGCCGTTGTCATAAAGGCCCAACCCAGCAGGCCACATGGCACTTGGTCAACACACAAGCACGCTCACGCCACACGGTTTTCAAACAAAGCTCTTGATTGAAAAACTGCTCATTTTCCTCACCCACCCCGCCATGGGTCACTCACCGTCCACTCCCACCCCACCACGTGTCACACTCACCTCCACACCCACCCTGCCATGTGTCACTCACCTTCCACGGCCACACTGCCACGTCACTCACTGTCCACACCCACCCCGCCACGTGTCACTCACCTTCCACACCCACCCCGCCACGTGTTGCTCCAGGAAGGCTGCATGGGCGGCGGGGTCAATCACGTTCACCTGGTGGAGACAAGGTGGCAGGAGGGGCGGGAGGGAGCGGCAGAGAGAACGAGGGTGTATGGTCCCCCCGACACTCTCGTTGAAGAGAGAAGAGCAGAGGATCAAAACCTTGAGCTTCTGACTCCACAAACCACCAATGGGGCTGCTTGGGCGCTGGGGTCAATCACGTTCTCCTGGGGAGGACAAGGTGGCAGGAGGGGCGGGAGGGAGCGATTTTTTGAGTCGACTAAAAAATTGCGAGCGGCAGAGAGAACGAGGGTGTGGGAGCAGAGGATCAAAATCTTGAACTTCTGACTGAGCACACCAGCGAATGGGGCTGCATGGGCGTCGGGGTCAAAAACGTTCCCTTGGGGACAAGGTGGAGGCGAGAGTGGACGGGAGGCGAGAGGTGATGCATGGGGGAGAGGAGAGGGCACGGTTGGTACTTTCAGGGAGTGACCAGAGAGCAAATAGTAGAGACCAAGTGAGTGTGGGACCATGGGAGCCCCATTCTATTACCATGGTGATGCCAGCACCTGATGATACCATGACTGCAAAAGTCAGCACAGGACGAACGAACTCAGACACCACAGTTCACACCACATCACATCACACCACATCACACCACATCACACCACATCACACCACATCACACCCCATCACACCACATCACATCACACCACATCACACCACATCACACCACATCACATCACACCACATCACACCGCACCGCACCCAACACCGTTTGCTCATACCTATCCAGCTGGGCAGCCCCGTTCCTACCTCACCCGCCACAGGTCACATCTCCCCCCCCCTCCCCCCGCACGCACGATCCCCACCTCGACTCAACAACCCCCCCCCCCACTCGGCACGATTCCTACCTCAGCCAGGATGGGTCCATACACGGCGCCCTTGCACTGCGCGCGGTTGTGGTCCAGCCACTCGCACGCCGCCTTGATTGACCTGAAGTATCTCCCCCCCTCCACACCCCCGTAAAAGGAGCCTGCGTCTGAGCTGAGGCGTCTCACCTACCTTGATTCCCGTTTCTCGCGACCTGGTTCCTACCTCAGCCAGAATGGGCCCATACACAGCGCCCTTGCACTGCGCGCGGTTGTGGTCCAGCCACTCGCACGCTTGCATCAGCTCCCGGTCGCCCGCCCTCTGTATGCGCCGGTGGCGGCTGTTGGTCACATCGTGAATGCTGGGAGGGGCAGGCACGCGGGGCAGGCACGTGGGGCAGGCAGGCAGGGGAGGGGCTTAAGGGACCAAGGGACCAGAACCCAGTGCCTCACACCCCGCCTTCAGGTCCCTGTCGCCCGCCCTCTGTATGCACCGGTGGTGGCTGTTGGTCACATCCTGAATGCTGGGGGGGGGGGGGAGGGGGGGAGGGGCAGGCAGGTGCAGCATACATGGGCGAGAAGGGACTGATGGACTTAAACACCCTGTCTCCAGTTCTCATGCTGGTTTCAGCTCCCTGTTGCCGCCCACCCTGTCTACACGCCCCAGCTGCTCCCCAGCACCCAATAGTCGGCTGGAGATTTGGCATAGCTGCTCTCTCTCACCCTCTCCCCCACCCTCTCTCACCGTCTCTCCATAGCTGCTCCCTAAACGCACTCAGCTGCTGCTGCTCCATCTGCCGCGCCTCCAACTCTTGAGTCAATACAGAAGCCTCACACCTCGTTCTCTCACCTGACCACTCACGCCTCCCCCTTAGCACCAGCCTCCACTCACCATCTCCCTCACACCATGCCCCCTCACACCATGCCCCTCACACCATGCCCCTCACATCATGCCCCCTCTCCCCTCTCATCATGCAGCTGCTCCCTCAAAACACTCAGCAGCTGCTGCTCCATCTGCCGCGCCTCCCTCTCCTGAGCCAGCTCAGAGGCGGATTTACGCCTCCCTCTCTCACCTGACCGCTCGCTCACGCTCCCCCCCATTCTCACCGCTTCTCCACGCGCTGCAGCTGCTCTCTCAGCACGCTCAGCTGCTGCTCCATCTGCCGCGCCTCCCTCTCTCACTCAGAAGTCGACAAACTCATGCCTCGCTCTCTCACCTGACCACTCACTCACACCTTCCCCCTCTCACTACCCCCCCCTCACCGCCCCCCCATTCTCACCGCTTCTCCACGCGCTGCAGCTGCTCCCTCAGCGCGCTCAGCTGCTGCTCCACCTGCCGCGCCTCCCTCTCCTTTTCCCCCGCCTGCATCCGCAGCTCCCTCCCCCGCTTCGACAACGGATCCTGGCCGTTGAAAGGAAGACGGGGAAGATGCGGGAAGGGGGGGGGGTGGACAAGCTATGGCTTCAGGAGAAACCCAGTATGCGCGTGTGCACATAGGAGAGGAGAAGCACCAGAGGCATGTCAGCTGTACTTTGAGAATTCTAAAAGACCATATCAGCTAGCAGCTGGAAGGGGTAACTTCAACCTTGGTGGTATTGGAGGAAGCTACCAACTCACTCCAATGTTCCTCCTGCATTCCCCATGGCTCCTTCACTCACCACCTGCGCCTTGGGCAGTTTCACTTCAGGCAGCGCGGCCAGCTGCGCCTGCAGCTGCTTCAGGTGGACCAGTGTCTGCACTAGGAGACACACACCGAGTCATGTCCCCCTCTTTCCCCACCTCCCGCATTCCCCACGACTCCTGCACTCACCACCTCCGCCTTGGGCGGTTTCACTTCAGGCAGGCCGGTCAGCTGCGCCTGCAGCTGCTGCAGCTCCTGCTGCGCCTTCGCCAGCCGCTGCTCTCTGGTCACGGCCTTGCGCCTCGTCTCCACTATGTCCCTCTCCCGCTCCACCGCTTGTTGCACCTGTTAGGGTTGAACGCATGACAAGCACACATACTACCCACTTCATCTCTCAACAAACAGCCAGCCACTGCTCTCTGGTCATGGCCTTGCGCCTTGCCTCCACAACGCCATCTCCCGCTCCACCGCGTGCTGGACCTGTTAGGGTTGGAGAAAAGAGAAAGAAGAGCTCATATTGCACTTCAACTCTGAAGTGCAGCCAGTCGCCAGCCGCTGCTCCCTGGTCATGGCCTTGTGCCTCGACTCCACTATACTTCTCTCCCCCTCCACCACATGCTGCACCTGTAGGGGCAAGGAGGACAGGGTACCAACCAGCAAAGGTTCAAACATGTAAGGCAAAACCGTGTGCCCCCTTTCTCTGCAGGTCCTGCTGTGCCTTCGCCAGCAGCTGCTCTCTGGTCACGGCCTTGCGCCTCGCCGCCATTATGTCTCTCTCGTGCTCCACCGCTTGCTGCACCAGTTGGGGTGGGTTGGAAGCATGGGGGAAACTATTTCTCTTCAGTTTCCTCCCTGGTCGACTCAAAAGCAGTTTCCTCCCTGGTCAGTGCCTTTTGCCTCACCTCCACTATGTTCCTCTCCCTCTCCACTCCACTCTGGACCTGTTGGGGTTGGCTTAGAGAAGAACAGCACATATCGTGCACTTCAACTCTCAATCAACTGCCACTGCCTCTCTCGTCACTGCCTCCCTGGTCAATGCCTTTGGCCTCGCCTCCACTATGCCCCTCTCCCTCTCCACCGCGTGCTGCACCTGTACGGTCAAAGAAACAGCAGGAATACAAAACATCTTGAAGCGAATTCGTGGCAGGATTGTCTTCCCCTCCCCTCCACCTTTCCACCGACTCTATTGTCTGAAAGACGGAAGGTTGAAAGCACGATGAGAGGAGTCAAGGGGGGGTGAGACGTTAGGAGATCCACGAGCAGAATTCAAGGCAAAAGCTCCTCTGCCAGCTCCGCAGCCTGCTCTCCGTTGCCTCCTCCCACCTGCCAAATCCCCGTCTTTTATTGCTACCGCCAACCACCACGCCTTACCATGCATGCACCCTCTTCTCGCATCCATGGTAAGAGCGCACCAGCTGACCGCTCTTCTGCGTCCCTCGCCTCCTCCCACCTGCCAAATCCCCGCCTCTTCTGCGCCCCGCCAGCTGGCCGCTCTCCTCTGCCCGCCACCTCCAACAGCCTCCCCTCACCAACTACCTCTCTCATTGTGCCACCACGTCATGTGCCTCACAAGCTACCCGTCCTATTGCATCGCTAACCCTGTGCGTCTCACCAGCTGGCTGCTCTCCTCTGCCAGCCACCTCCCGCAGCTTTCTCATCTCCCTCTTAGCAGCCACTTGCTCGGATAGAATGGCTACCCCCTTGCTTCTCACCATCTAGCCCACTTATGGCACCACTACCCCCTGTGCGTCTCACCAGGTGGTCGCTCTCCTCTGATAAATCCCGCAGCTTCCTCTCCCGCGCCTCGTTCTCCTTCCCTATCTTCGCCACCAGAGATGAAAACCCCGCCCGGCTCTCCTTCAGCACTCTGAGGGGGGAGAGCCAGGTGGAGCGGGAATCCGCACCAGGGGTAAGCATTGAGGCTGGAGGGAGGGGCTATTCTCCCGCCCTATCTTCGCCACCAACCAGAGAGGCAAACCCCGCGCAGCTCTCCTTCAGGGCTCTGAGGGGGGGAGAAAGTGGAAAGGTGGAGGGGGAAACACATTGAGGGAGGGGGGAGAGGGGTTGTTCTCCTTCCCTATCTTCGCCACCAGCAAGGAAAACCCCGCCCGGGTCTCCTTCCGTGCTCTGAGGGGGAGACAAGAGGGCGGAGGGGGGGGAGAGCGATGGAGGGAGGGGGAGCACGGAGGAGGGAGAAGAGGGGTCGTTCTGCCGCCCTGCCGTCGCTACCAGAGAGGCAACCTCGCCCAGCTCTCTTTCAGTGCTCTGAGGGGGGGGGGAGGAGAGGGCGGAAGAGGAAGGTGGACCACATGGGGTGAGAATGGAGGAGTGAGGGGAAGGGCCGTTCTCCTTCCAGAGTCAAACCCCGTCCGGCACTCCTTCAGGGTGCTGAGCGGTGGAGAGCGGTGGAGAGTGGTGGAGAGTGGTGCAGAGGGTGGAGGGCGGGGGGGAAGTCACAGGGGGTGAAACGCTGGCGGGGGAGGTGGGCAAGGGGCGGGGAAGAGGGGGAGGAGAGGTGGGCTAAGAAGGGGAAAGGTGAAGGGGAAGTAGGTATTGTGGGGGTGGAGGGGGAGAGGAATGGTGTGCTTCCAACCACAAGCTAGAGACTTGCAAAGACTGGCTAGAATTCGCATCCACACACTTTGGTCATACACTACTCACACGAGTGGGTCCTTGGCCGCCATGACCTGCGTCTGCAGGACGTCCCTCCCCTTGGGCATTCAATCAGAGGCGAACTTGAAACCACAGATTACACGCAGCAGCCCCACAGCACCTTGGGACTCACACCACTCACACGAGAGGGTCCTTGGCTGCCATGACCTGCGTCTGCAGGACGTCCCTCCCCTTGGGCATTCAATCAGAGGCGAACTTGAAACCACAGATTACACGCAGCAGCCCCACAGCACCTTGGGACTCACACCACTCACACGAGAGGGTCCTTGGCTGCCATGACCTGCGTCTGCAGGACATCCCTCCCCTTGGGCATTCAATCAGAGGCGAACTTGAAACCACAGATTACACGCAGCAGCCCCACAGCACCTTGGGACTCACACCACTCACACGAGAGGGTCCTTGGCTGCCATGACCTGCGTCTGCAGCGCGTCCCTCTCCCTGTGCCTCGCCTGCACCTCCCCCTCCATCTCCCTCACTCTCGCCTTCACCCGCTCGTACTTGAGCCACGGGGCCTTCTTCTTCATCAGCGCCACCTGAGAACGGGAAGGAAAGAGGGAGGGGGAGGGAGGGAGAGCGTGTGTGCATGTTACTTGGGTCAGGCCAGTCACCCTTCCCTCCATCTCCCTCACTCTCCCCTTCACCCGCTCGTACTTGAGCCACGGGGCCTTCTTCTTCATCAGTGCCACCTGAAGGGAGAGGGGAAAAAGGGGGGAGAGTGTGTGTGCCTGTTACTGCTGATTCTACTCGAGAGTCACCTCCCCCTCCATCTCCACCACTCTCCCCTTCGCCCGCTCGTACTTGAGCCATGGGACCTTCTTCTTTACCATCGCCACCTGAAGGGAGACGGTGGGGAGGGAGGAGAGAGGAACGGGAGGGAGAGTGTGTGTGCATGTTGCTGTTGAGTCACCTTCTTCCTTATCATCGCCACCTGAAGGGAGACGGTGGGGAGGGAGGAGAGAGGAACGGGAGGGAGAGTGTGTGTGCATGTTGCTGTTGAGTCACCTTCTTCCTTATCATCGCCACCTGAAGGGAGACGGTGGGGAGGGAGGAGAGAGGAACGGGAGGGAGAGTGTGTGTGCATGTTGCTGTTGAGTCACCTTCTTCCTTATCATCGCCACCTGAAGGGAGACGGTGGGGAGGAAGGAGAGAGGAACGGGAGGGAGAGTGTGTGTGCATGTTGCTGTTGAGTCACCTACTTCGTTATCATCGCCACCTGAAGGGAGACGGGAAGGGGGGGGAGAGTGTGTGTGCAGGTCACTAAGAAGTCGACTCAAAAGCCACCAACCTCCCATCTCCCTCACCCTCCCCTTCACCCGCTCGCATTAAAGCCGTGGCACCTGCGTCTTCATCTTCTTTATCGCCACCACCTGAGGCATGAGAACGGGAAGGGGGAGAGTCGAAGGGGGAAGGAGAGTTTCTCCATCTCCCTCACCTCACCCGCCCCTTCACCCACTCGCATTTGAGCCTATTTTTGAGGCGCCTCACAAAGAGAGTCGAAGGGGGAAGGTGAGTTTCTCCATCTCCCTCACCCGCCCCTTCTCCCCATCGTGCTCCTCCTCTCTCAAGACAGCCTACCCCGGGACCTCTCACTTGCCTCTCCCCCAGACAGTGCACTTTCAGCCCTACACGCCCCTTGCCTCCTTCTCCCAACCCCCTGATCCCTCTCACCTCTTCCAGAACAGCCACTCCCCGTGCACCTTCACCGTATCGTGTCCCACATCTCCCAACACCCCCTCATCAAAGCACCTCTTTCAGAGCACCATGTCTCCCAGCCCCTAGCCCCGTCACTCCATCTCCCACCCCCTCACCTCTTTCAAAATGGCCTCCCTCCGCTGCACCTTCTCCACATCCTGCTCCACCTCTGCATTCTCCTTCTGCAGCTTGCTCAGCTGCTCCTCATGGGACTTCAATGTCTGGGCAAACATGGGGAATGGGGAATGGGGGACTTAGAACCACGTCCTGCACCACCTCTGCATTCTCCTCCTGCAGCTTGCTCAGCTGCTCCTGGTGCGATGACAGGGTCTGGGGCCATGGGGGGATGGGAGAATGGGCGAGTGCGCAAGTGGGAGGACGGGAGTTAGAGAAACGGGAAAGGGGAAATGGAGGGATGCTGCTGGCCCATTTCCATCTCTGCATGATGCTCCACCTCCTGGTGCGAAGACAGGGTCTGGGGCTTTGGGGGGATGGGCGAGTGCGCAGGTGGGAGCATGTGTGAGAGAAAAGGGAGTGGGGCCACGGAGGGATCATGCTGGCCCATTTCCAATTTCGCATGATCCTCCACCTCCGCATTTCCCCCATATGCAGCTTGCTCAGCTGCTCCTGGTGCGATGATGACAGGGTGTGGGGCAAGGGATGGGGCAATGGAGGGAGGGATAAGGTACCTCAACCCCCATGATGCTCTTTCTCTGCACCCCCCCTCTGCAGCTTGCCGGCGGGATGACAATTTCTTGGAAAGAAGAGACACCCTCTGCAGCTTGCCTAGCTGCTCCTGGCGGGATGGCAATTTCTTGAAAAGAAGAGACACCCGGACTCGTCTATCTCACCGACTGCAGGCTAGCCAGCACATGCAGCCAGCACCTGGCCATCTTTTCAAAGAAGAGAGGGGGGAGGAGGGGGAAGAAGAAGAGAGCCCCCCCGACTCTTCTGTCTCACCGCAGTGCAGTCTGCCCAGCAGCACGCCCTGCTCCTCATCAAGCAAGACACGAAACTCAGCTACTTGCTGCTCTGTACACACATACATACTTAAAGCCCCTCTCTTACCACGGTGCACTCTGCCCAGCAGCACGCCCTGCTGCTAATCAAGAACCGAACCTCAGCTACTTGCTGCTCTGTACACATACTCTTAAAGCCCCTCTCTTACCGCATCCAGGTTCGCCACCACGTCCTGCTGGTCCTTGAGAAAGGTGTGCTGCTGGGACAGCTGGGGGTCACGGACGGCCCTCTGCGTCTCCTCTAGCAGGTGGACGGGCGACATGCCTGCATGGAGGCACCTACATACACGCTCTTACCACGCTCTGGGTTTCGTCTCACCGCATCCAGGTTCGCCACCACGTCCTGCTGGTCCTTGAGGGCCGTCGGTGACCCCAGGCACTGGTGACATACTTCAAGGCACCTTCCCGCAGGATTGCTTCTTACCGCATCCAGGTTCACCACCACGTCCTGCTGGTCCTTGAGAAAGGTGTGCTGCTGGGACAGCTGGGGGTCGCCCACGGCCCTCTGTGTCTCCTCTAGCAGCTGGATCGGCGACATGCCCGCGAACGCACACACACGGTCCTGGGGAAGGAACTGCGGGCGGGGGGAGAGAGGAGGGGGGAGGGGGAAGGGAGACGGAGAGATGACTTTGGGCGGACTAAAAAGCAGCAGCTGGATGGGTGACACGCCTGCAAGCGCACACAAGCGACGCGATCCTGGGGAAGGAACTGGAGGGAGGGGATGGAGGGAGAGGGGCAATGGGAGGAGAAGGGTGGGGGGGGGGGGGGTGTTTGGGGGGCGGAGGGAGGAGGGAGGAAGAGGGAGCGTAAGTGTTGCCATCCATGCCTGCGAACGCTGACACACGGTCCTGAGGAGAGAAACTGTAGGAGGGGGGAGAGTTTGCGGGGAAATCGGCGACATGGTGCGAATGGAAATGAGAGAGTTGAAATGGCTCTTAGGGTCTCCGGGAGTCCTGACTGCATGTGGGAGAATTTCATGACTGCAGCACCTGTGTTACATGATCCTGGAGCACCAGCAACCCCCCCACCCACCCCCCTTCCCTTCCCTCCCCCTTCCCTCCCCCTTCCCTCCCCCTTCCCTCCCTCTTTGTTGCAGCCACATGTGCTTGCCCATATTTGAGGCGCCTCAAACAAAGAAACTGTGGAGGGAGGGAGGGCTCACCGCCTGTTTTTGAGGCGCCTCAAACAAAGAAACTGTGGAGGGAGGGAGGGCTCACCGCCTGTTTTTGAGGCACCTAAAAAATAGACCCCTCCCTCTTTGTTGCAGCCACATGTGCTTGCCCACATGCCTGAGTGACGATGGAGATCTGGATGTCGAAGTAGCCGCGTGCTCTCCAGCACCTGCGGTTGAGTGACCCTGGCTGGAGCAACAGCTACACCACCCCCACCCCTCCCCCCCGTTTCCTTCTCCCCCTCCCACATCCCACCGACCACCTGTATGCGTGTGCTTGCTTGCTTGCTTGCCTGAGTGAGGTTGGAGATCTGGATGTTGAAGTGCTTCATGCACTCCAGCACCTGCTCCCGCCGCGCACCCCGCCCTGCCATGAGGACGCAGAGAGAGAGAAGGCAGCATGGCGTGAGACATATCCCATGCGCTGAACAAGGGTGCGCCACGCGCACACCTCCCCCGCCGCATCCCCCTCCGAAGCAAGCCTCACGATTGGAGACTTTGAATCCGGATTCACCCAGATTTGAATATTGACGACTCGAAATATGGCTAAATGTCGAGGCTTTGTGCGTTTTTGAGGTACTAGGGAGCCAGAGCCCATCGAAAGGATCAGAATAGGTTTTGAAAGGGGCAATTTTGGGCCCGTTTAGGCAATCCGGATTTGAATCCGGCACGGGTTTCACTGGAAAACATCCTGAATTTCACCAGAATTCCGGAAGATTACCCTTCTATCATGAGCCCTGCTCCGGACACCTATGCTGATCTCCCTACTGCTGCTTTTAGGCGTGCCCCTCACACCACCCTTACCATGGACGAGCGAGCACCACTCAGTCCAGTGCTCGCTTGTTGTAACTCGCCTCGTGACCTGCACCTCCTCCCCGGGCGCATCCCTCTTCAGCTCTATGCTGATCCCCGCACTTCTGCTTTAAATAAATCCCATTGAAAACACGCTCAGCATGAGAGCCTCAAACGTGCTTACCATTGAGGAACCACTCAGTGCAGTTCTCGCTGGTGATCTTCCTCGTGACCTGCACCACCTCCTTCCCTTTCTCTCACTCACCCCTATGCTTATCTCAGCACGTCTGCAATGATGCACCACAGCACACACTCACCGTTGAGAAACCACTCGGTGCGGTTCTCGCTGGTGATTTGCCTCGTAACCTGCACCTCCTCCCCCCCCCGCCGCATCGTGCCTCACCACTATACTAATCGTCCTGCTGCTTGGCGCACCGCAGCACACACTCACCGTTGAGAAACCACTCGGTGCGGTTCTCGCTGCTGATTCGCCTCGTGACCTGCACCTCCTCCCCCGCCGCATCTCCCCGCAGATTTATGTTGATCTCCGCACTGCACTCCCCCCGCTGCACAAACTCGCCCACGTGCGCCGCCCTGCCCAGCATCTGCATTCCAGCACGGGGAGGGTGGGGGAGAGGGGGGGGAGGAGGAAAGGGGGTGTGCCTATGAATGCTATCTGTTCTCCCCTCGCTGCACAAACTCGCCCACGTGCGCCGCCCTGCCCAGCATCTGGAGACCAAGGAGGGGGGAGAGGGCGGAAGTGGGGGGGGAGCGAAGCGGGAAGGGAGGAGAAGGGACGTGGGTTGCTACCCATGTGACCTGTTCTCCCCGCTGCACAAACCCGCCCACGTGCGCCGCCCTGCCTAGCATCTGGAGTCGGAGAGGGGGGAGAGTTGGGGGGTGGGGGGGGGGGTTGAGGAGAAGGGAAGTGGGTTGCCACCAATGTGACCTGATCCCCCCGCCCTGCACAATCTCGCTCACATGCGCCGCCCTGCCCAGCATCTGGGGGGCGCAGGAAGGGAACACAGGGGCACGGAAAACACAGCAAGCGTGACACCAACAACGGAGCTCTTGCCCGATCCATGTGGCCCGACTATCAGGTTCAGTCCAGCAGCGGTACATGCTAGCACTGCAACGGTAAGCCTCACCTTGGGTTCGCCGCCCAGCCCGAGCCCAATGGCGCACACAAGCGAGCTCTTGCCCGACCCATTGGGGCCCACTATGAGGTTCAGGCGGGGCGAGGGGCGCGCTGAGATGGATGCGTAGGTCATGAAGTGGCGGACCTGCACCATTAGGATGTTGCCAGGCTGGAACCCGTCGACGCCTCTGATTGGTGGAAGGTGGGGGGGGAGGAGAGTTTGGGGGGGGGGGAGGAGGTGGGGAGAGAAAGCATGATAAGGGGTTGGCGAAAATAGAGGTGTGCACTGCCGGCAATGCCAACACAGCCGATGTTTCTAACTTCTCAGACAACTCTTACAAGGGATTGTCGAGAATCAAATTGTGGGCTGCCAACAACGCCAGCACTGCCAATCCTCACCTTGGCATGGCACGAGGAGCAGCCAGCACTATCGCTTTTTGAAGTGCCTAAAAAAATGAGGCGCCTAAAAAATCAACACCATCTATTCTCACCGTGGCATGGCTCGCGGAGTAGTCAGCACTATCGCCGTTGTCGCCTCGCGGCGTGTCGGCATTGTCTGCGTGGGCGTGCCTCCAGGTCCGTCCCGACCCTCCCCCATGCCAGACGGCGTCACTGGAACCTCCGCATCTTCCCCAGGCTCGGCACGCCCCCGAGCGCGAGGCTGCGTGCTAGGTCCGGCAGCCTGCGAATCCCGAGCGTAACCGCCAGCCTCGGCATGGTAATCCCTAGCGTCGTAACCGCCATCACTCTCAACGACTTTCTCTTTGCCCTTATTAAGACGAGCGGCGCGAGCGATCTTTTCCCGCTTCACCACGTCAGCCTCCCGTTTCACCACCTCAGCCTGGCGTCTGGCCACGTCAACTTCCCGCTTCACCGCACCCGCGGCTCGCTCTCGCTTCACCACGTCAACAGGCGGCTGCGACGCGGGTATACCGCCGCCACTTGCGCCTCCCATCCTAAGCCGCTTGCTCTGACGCGTCCTACTACCATCGGAGCCGTTCGTTTCTGCTCCGTCTGCCTCTCCGCTCCTTCGCGTGCGTCGTCCTACCTCACCTCCCACTTCTTCTATCTCCTCTACCTCTTCTACCTCCCGCGCGTCCCGCGCGTCCTCGTGCTCCCCCTCCTCCTGCAAGCTCGACGACCGGGTCACTCGCCTCGCCGGCTCGCCTGAACGGCTAACGCGCTCTCGCTTCGGCGCCATGGATGGATATCGAACGTATATTACCTCGCGGCGCCTTCAAACTGGACCGTGGATTACTATTGCAACATTACAGAGCTCGACTATGGATTATGTTTGCGAGATAAACTGAACCATGGGGTAGTGCACGGCAAGAGATCCTAAGGAGCGGAGAGACGTGTAATGAAGCAGAGGGACATTCGCACAGCCAAGAGGAGAAACACCTAGCCAAGCAGAGAGAGGACCTCAAGCCAAGCGGAGAATTTAGAGGTCTCTCGTCTTAGTGGAAAGACAATGCATGATGCCTGTCAAAACGTTCTCCCTCAGTACCCTACCCAAACGTTTTAAATATTCAGAGAGCCCTTTTGAACGCTACATAACTCACTCAACCGCGCTATAGTGAACTTCTGTGATATACGAGTGTCTCACAATGCGACTTCCTGACGCTTCAAAGTACGAGGTAATTTCCCGCGTGTTTGATTTTGCCGCTTCGAAACACTTCGTCTCCGCAAGGACCAGGTTTGAAATGTGATACTGGGTGCGCACCAGACGAGAATGCGTTACCAAAGAACCGATATATGTACATAAATTGATCATTAACAAGTAGCAATGATACGAAGCTGCACAAGGTCCAATACCGTGCCTGCACTTATATCTACCAACCCTACTACCGTACTCGTACTGTTTAGGCCCTACCCTGTGCAGAACTAGTACTCGTGAGTCGTGGCATGATATCGATCGTATACCATGCCTTGAATAGCCAACTTTGCAAATAGAGCATCTCATGCCTGAATTGGAATGGCCACTTTCATGTTAGATGGAGAGCAGTGGGCAGGCACGCTGCAGGAGAAGTAGAGGGTCGTGCCCTTGGCTGACACTGGCACCTTGTACCTGAGAAGTTTTTACAATGTGGTCAGCAGAACAAGCAGGCGATAGCTTGAATGCAAGAAAGGGACACAGCGAGCAGTCAAGCTAGCCAGGGCAGTCAAAGCTATCCAACGCAATGGGCCTGCTGGTGAGAAAAGTGCACATGCTCACCTGTATGTCCTTGAGTTGGTGATCCGTGTGAGTTTCTTAGCAGATCCAAAGTCACAGCTGTTGTACGCCTCTACAGAGTCCATGAGAACCACATCATGGGGAATGAAGCCCCTCCACTTGAACACTGCGAGAAACATGAGAAATTGTTGACACCCCCCAAAAAGGTAAGGAAAAATGGACCACAAAAGGGGTCAGCTTGTCAGGTAGAAGAGAAAACAACAAACCGTGGAACAAATCAACAGATGCTCACAACAAACTCTAACACGCTTCACGAGCAACAGCAGGGCAGAGAGGGGCCACACAACGAAAGAGCACAGCAAACTACACGCCTCGAGAAACAGTGGAGGGAGAGCGAGGCGTACAGAGCACATCGCCTGCACGTGCAGTGGTGGTGGGGCGCCAATTGTGCAGGTTGTAGCGCCACGGACTGCGCCCCTTGCCGCCCACCGTGATGACTCTGGCCTGTGGGGCGGCAGCATTGGACACAAGGGGAGAAAAGGGCGTGTGAGGGAGATTGCAAGACAGAGGAAACGCCCGGGGCGCCACTTGTGCAAATTGTGGCGCCATGGACTGCGCCCCCTGCCGCCCCCCGAGATGACTCTGGCCTGCGATCATGCATGGATGCAAGGCGAGAAGTGTTGAATCTCAAACAAAACGGAAAACAGGACAAAGAAATATAGAGAGGACTGGGATGTGGGGACCACAGAGGCACAGATCGCACCGACGTTGGAGGGTAGGAATCCAACACATGTGAAGGGTGTAGGATTAGGGTGGGTTCTGAGACACGGAGCGAATCGTACCTCTGCTTGGGCTGAGCCTGACAATCACGAGCCGATTGGCAATCAACCAGATTAATGGGTGGCCGGGCCAGCGAAGGAGAGGGAGGCGAGGAAACACGGAGAAAAGGAATCGCGTGGGAAGGAGGAGAGGGTAGAAGGAGTGAGTTCATGGATCAATCGAACACAAATTACACGACCTCAGTAAGCAAGAGAGCGCCATGAGTTCTGGAGGGAGAGGAAACGGAAGCGACGAAGTAGATTAGGGTTGGAGACAAGCAAAGTCTTGGCGAGGCGTCAGACTCCTGCGACGTCTTGAAAGCGAGCAGGAAAGACAGAGCAGGGGGGTGGGACGAGCGAGCAGGACGTACAGAGCAGGACGAGAAGTGCAGCGGCTGCAAGGGCGATAGCGGAAAGCGACCGAGCCATGGCGACAACGGACGACGAATCAGAACGGAGCGACGGTTGCCGAGAAACGAGTTTCCGAGGCTTGGATAGATGGAGACAATCGGAAGCTGGCCGTACGCCGGACGGTTGGGAGAAGTGGTAACCGGAGGACGACGAATGTCCAAATCGCCAAGCAATCAGATAGACCTAGCCACGGGGGAGGTATATTTCTTGCTTTCTTTAGTACTAGCGAAATGCTCTCAGGCGATGGTTGTGAGACCTTCAAGGTTTAGACGATGCTGCTGCTGTTGCGCCAGTGCACTTCAACTGCTGTCCGCGAGTGTGTCCGAGTATCTAAGTGCAGCACTTGCAGCCGTTCCGTCCTGGGGTCCTTGCTCCTCGATTGTGTTCTGAAGATCGTCCGAGTCGGTGCTACATACTACTTCCATGATGTGGTTCTCTCAGGGACGCGGCTTGTGAGCCTGGACGCACTTTCTGCGGCTCCACAGCACCGTGCTGCACCGTGCTGTGCACATCCCTCGCATTCCTCCCTGCTCGTCCTACACTCCACCGCATTTCACCGCATTTCGAGCGACACGGCTCTGCCTCCAAATTCCGGCCTGGTACGGTACGGCACGGCACGGTAGCGCCTCCATCCTACACAGCCCTTTGTTCAGTCCACTGAATGACCGACCCTAGGTTCTCTCACCGCACTTCTAGGAAATTCGGGGAAGGCTCATCGGAGGAAGGCTCATCGGAGGAAGGCTCGCGGAACGACCATGGGACATGGTAGTGTAGTGAAACAGCCCAATGAACTGTACTCCTGTAGTAACAATCTGTCAGGCATGCGCGAAGAAGCGGACGGCGTCACCCACCTCCGTTACGTCGCTCGAGGCACGTACTAACGCGTAACACCTGACACGTGGCGATGACGGGGCGGGTCATGGGACGGAATGCCGTCTTCACCCTCCCCAGTCCCACCCACATCAGTCAGGCAGTCTGGGTAGCATAGTGCAATGCACCAGAGCATGGTCAGTACGATACAAGGTGTGTGTTCGGGAATTGGAATCAAAACTCAGGCCTCCACGACAGGAGCAGAATGCTCTAGAATGTGGGCCAACTGAGCTCACCTCCCTGGCGAGATGCATTTGGGGAGAGCAAGCAAGCAGATACACCAGCAAATCCTAGTCGATGTGGGCTGAGCTGACAGTTCACTCCAGTGCGGTATAATGAGCTGCTTCACGATCACGAGCGTTTCATTCAAATCCAAAACGGCTGGGCAGGGTTCAGAGGTGAACAGAGGGCAGGAATGCACCAAAGTCCATCGCCAACAGTCCAGCCATCTGTGCATGCACCCACCAGGTCCCAGTCCCAGATGGACAAACTGTGTACACAGCGTCTCGCTCTGCTCCATGAAATTGGAAATCGAAATGAAAATGGAAATGGACGTCGCCATTAGAAATGAAAGTACACCATAAAATGTGTATTATTGGAGCTCGTATTGTGTTAATCGGCCGCGTTGAAGCATAGTAAAGTTTTCAGCGTGTGGCTGAACTTGCTTACTGCTATGACCAGCCAAGCAAGTATTAAGAGGATGAAATATGAAGGGAATACAATTTCATAGTTAGAACGAATTACTAGAATGAGAGGATACTGTCGAGTGACCCGCTGGGTTACCCTTAAAAAGATCCTCGGAGAAGGGTCACAGGTGCAGAGCCTGGGGGGTTATGGGCGCACTAACCCGCTATTTAACAAGCCCTTTTAACCCAATGGTTAGTGACTGGGTTTCTGACATGGTATCAGAGCCAAAGGTCTTGGGTTCTAGTCCCAGTGCTAGCGCTACAGAGGCGCTTGTGTCTTCCACCTATCCCAGCGCGGGGGGGTATCGAGTGACCCCCTGGGTTACCCTTAAAAAGATCCGCGGAAAAGGGCCACAGGTGCAGAGCCTGGGGGTTATGGGCGCACTTATCCGCTATTTAACAAGCCTTTTTAACCCACTTGTTAGTGACTGGGTTTCTGACAGATAATTGGGTATATAGCTATTGGGTTGTACTCTCTATGGCAAGACCCTATGTTTGACATGTCAAACATGTGTATTTGTCATGTTTGTATAGACTGTATAGGGTAGCCTCTTAGAGGGTACAACACTTAGGTATATCTGTGTGTACCCTCTCTCTAACATACCATTCACTTCAATTTCTGTTATGGTATCACGCGTAGGTAGGATCCCCACCACCTACCGCTTCCGCTCGCCCCCCCCCCTGGCCCCGTCGCGACCCCCCCCCCCCTAGCCCCGTCGCGCCCCTTCCTTGGACCCGTCGCGCCCCTCCCTGGGCCCCGTCGCGCCCCTTCCTGGGCCCCGTAGCGCCCCTCCTGGGCCCCGTCGCGCCCCTCCCAGGCCCCGTAGCGCCCCTCCTGGGCCCCGTAACGCCCCTCCTGGGCCCACCAGCCGCCCATTACCTCTACCCTCTACCTGCTTGCCACCAGCCTCCCTGACCGCCTTGCTGTCGCCCGCGACCGCTTCCTTAGTCTTCACCCTGCCGACCTCACCCTCTGTGACTTTGTAGACACCTTGACTGTGAGAGAGACCCGTCACCGCTCCATCGCCCGGGCGAGCGGTGTCGTGCCTGTCCCTATCTTTCAGGGTTGTGCCCCCGCCCAGTGTACCTTCTCCGACGGCTCTGTCGCAGTGGCTGAGACTGCCGTTGCAGCGCAATTTCGTTCCGGGAAGGGCTGCCGCCCCAAGGTTGGGCACGGCGGAGGCGGCGGCGGGGGTGCGGGAGGGGGTAGTAGTGGGGTCGGATCGTCTGGTGCTGGAGCGGACGAGGGGACCCTGCCCAGTCCAGCTGAGCCGCCGCCCCTGCAGTTGCAGCCGCCGCAGCAGTCGCCGCAGTTGCAGCCGTCGCAGCAGCCGCCGCAGCCGTCGCAGACGCGGCAGACGAGTGTCCTCCCGCCCGGGTGGCCCGGCGCTGGCGGTGGCCGGGTGCGTGGTGGTGTGTCGAGTGGTAGCTCTGGCCGCGGGCGCTGTCAGTACCAGATCCAGACCGGTCCTCGCCGCGGCTTCGTTTGCGGAAAGATCGGTCACTCCACTCCCCGCTGTTTTCGTCGCCTGGACGACCTCTTTCGTCAGCGCTTCGGCCCGTCGCCAGACCTCCCGGACTGGCACAGTTTGCTTAGTCGTAAGATTCAGATCTTTGATATGGACATGGATGCCATTGTTTCTGCTCTGCATGTGATGTATGCTAATGACTCTAGTGTGCTTCCCGCTTATTACTCACTGTTGCCTAGTGTAGGTGTGCCTAGTGTACCCTCCCCTGCTGCGTCAGGCGTAGGATCCTCTGCTTTGTGTAGTCTTGGTGCTTCCGCCGTCATTCCGTCGCCAGACGCCTCTGCTTCGCTTTCCTTCACCTTGGACTCTGGCGCTTCTCGGTATTTCTTCCGCGACTCCACCACCCTGACGCCGCTTCCCATCCCTGCTACCGTTTCTCTCGCTGACCCCTCTGGCGGTCCGGTAGTCGCCCGTAGTTCCACCACCCTTCCCTGTCCGGCGGTTCCTTCGGGCTCTCTTACAGGTCTGCATATCCCCTCGTTCTCCAGGAACCTAGTTGGTGTCGGCTGCCTCCAGGACCTTGGCGTCACCACTACGTTCCCTGGTCACGAGCGGTATGCTGTCTATACCGAGGCCGCCACTGGTGCCCCCCTGTCCACGTTCCCCCGGGACCCGGTGTCCGGCCTGTTCACTCTGGACACCGTGACCCCCCCGGCTGGAGCGCTCACCCTGGTTGCTGCCGCCTGCTCCTGTCGGTCCCTCACTCACCCGACCCTCCTTTGGCACCACCGCCTAGGTCACCCTGCGCTCCAGCGTCTGCGTCACATGTCTCAGCACGGTCTTGTCCTTGGTCTCCCAGGTTCTCTCACCAGCTTAACCTGTGGCCGCACCCTCAGCAGCCGCAGGTTTCGCCGACCCGTCTTTGGACTGGGTCTCCTGGTGACGCGTCTGCGTTCCACGTCTGGGGCTGCCTTGCTCACATCCGTGCCTCCGGCACGGACAAGCTCACTGCCCGCACCCTTCCCTGCGTCTTCCTCGGTTTTCCCCTTGACGTGTCCGACTGGCACTTTTACCACCCGCCGTCTCACCGCTTCTTTCACTCTCGTGACGTCACCTTTGACGAGTCCGTCTCCTACTACCGTCGCTTCCCCCACCGTGGTCCCCCGGTTACTCCACCCCTGTTTCTGGTCCCTCCTTCCCCGGTAGTCCCTGCCCCTCCTCCTCCTCCTCCCCGTCCCGCCCCCTCTGGTGTGTCCCACGTCACCCCCCCTCTGTCGGTGGACCCGGTTGAGGAGTCTTCTGACTCTGGTGGCCCTCCTGTGCCGTCCTCGTCAGCCGCCCCTCCCCTGGCGTCCCCTCCCCAGTCCCCTCCTCCACCGCTTCTGCCGCCACTGCAGCCGTCGTTGCCGCCGCCGCCGCCGCCGCCGCTGCCGTCGCAGCACCCGTTCGCTGCCTCTGGGGGTGCTCGTCCCGGTAGCCCTGGGGGTGGTCCCTCTGGGGGTGCTGGTGTGGAGAGTGTCGGGGGTTGCCGAGGAGCAGCTAGCGGTCCCGGTGTCGCCGTTATGCCGCCGCAGCAACAGTCCCCGCCGGTGTCAGCCCTTCGCCTGCTCGGCCTGCCGTCCCCCGACCCTGCGTCGGTTCCTCCCCGACCGTCTCCTCCTCTTCCTGTCTACGGCCCTGTTTTCCCTCCGCCGGACTCGTCCCCGGCTCGTCTCCCCCCTCGTTCCCCTCCTGTGTCCCCTCCGCTGTCTCCTGACCCGACTCCTCCGTCGCACGTCTGGTCTCACCGTCCCTCCCGTGCTCGTCCTGCCTCGCCTGTCCTGCGCTCCCACCCTATGTTGCTTCGTTCCCACGCGTCTCGTCCTCCCCTTCTGCCGTCGCCTCCTCCTTCCTCCCTTGTTGTTGCACCCCCCCCGCTGTCTGACTACCTTCGTGCCGCTCGTCCTCTTGTTCCTCGCGTCCTTGCCTCTCTCGTTACCGACCCGTCTGTTCCGGCCTCGTGCCTTGCCGCCCTTGTCGCTGCTGTTGCTGACTTCGCCTCTACCCGCCGCCTTGACTACGCCACCGCTCTGGTCTCTGACCCTGCCTGTCCTCCGTCTGCCGGGGGTGCTCCTGCCCTTGGCAGTGACGTCCTGGAGGACCGCCAGTTCGAGCTTGCTTTCCTGTCCGAGGCTGCTCCCCATCTCTGTTCCATGCTGCTAGTCCCTGAGGGTGACCTAGACGCTTTTGACATCCCGACCCCTTGCACTTACGCTGAGGCGACCTCGTGACCCTGGGCCTCGCAGTGGATAGCTGCCATGGAGCAGGAGATGGCATCTTGGAGATCCACCGGCACCTTCGTCGACGCAGTTCCCCTACCTGGGGTGAACGTAGTTGATGGCCGCTGGCTCTTCAAGGTGAAGCGCCCTCCTGGACTAGT